CCATCAGCACAATATCAGGTTTATTCGCAAGAATAGTCCTGTCTATGATGATGGCCCGATCCCAGTAGAGCCTGGCGCGGTCATTTTCGAGCACGGCTTCCGGTAAGTACTTATAATAAGGCAGTTTCCGATCCACGAGACCGTATTTCAGAGCGAGCTCCTGGTATAGAATTCTGGCTACTAGGCTGTGTCTATGTAAGTACTTTGACATTCCTAAGTGACTCACCGGGACGGCGGCAAGCTTATTATTACTCTTACGAATGTTTGCGTGTGCAGTAAAATCACTTACAATGCATTACTGCGCATTTTGAATTCAAGAGATAAAAAGGATACAAAGTTTGAGATTTTTTTAAATTGATTTGTCTTTAACGGCCAATATTAGTTATCTTGTACCTTCTCTGCAAATTTGACCGTTTATCATAAAATAACCCTGTATAATTTCCAAGGAAGCACAGATTATTGGAATAAGCCTAAACTATGGTAAGCTTTGTAAAATTTTGAGAGAAAGGTGGTACATGCTTTCATATTTCTTTCTCATATATATAATTAGTAGAACATGTGGAAGAAAAATTTCTTGTCACTTAAAACCATTGATTTATATGTTACACTAGATAAGTAATTTCCGCGCCAAAGCGTTGTCACTTCACATAAGGCCACAGCCTTATACTCAGCGAACGTCGGTTCAGTGTTCAAGGTGACGCCGTCCGAGTTAAGCCGAACGATTCACAACAAAAAATGGGTAAATGCGTAGTGAAAGAATGCGTTTCAAGGTCACAAAAACATAATAAATCAAGCGGAATCACTTTCCATACGTAAGTTTTAATTTATATATTCATATTAACGTTTAAAACACTAAAAAATTAAATAAAATATCGAATATTGCAATTTAGGTTAATTGTTGCCACTTTTCCGCCTTTGTGATTTTTCCACATTAATGGGAGACTGTATAATTTATGGAATAAGTTAATTTTGTTTTAAAATAAACAAGTAAAATTGATTGCTTAAAAATAAAAACTATGTTTCAACCTTCATACAAAATAATTATTCTTATTTTATTTTATTCATGAATTATCTATTACATATATTTTACTACCTTATATCTTATATTAATAATTTTATATTAATTAAAATTTCATATAAATTTTATATTAATTATATTTCACCACCTATTTTATATTACTTGATTTATTAGTACAGTAAAAAATATTTATAAAAATATGTTTTATTTCATCATTATGTACTTCTAACTCATCTGATAAGCTTTGTATTCTTTTTTTCTAAGGGGACGCAATAAAGATTTTAAAATAAAATATACTTTCTTAATATAAAAACAATTAACTGAAGCTTAAAAAAAAACTCATTTTTATAGCGTATTTTAGGTAAAATTTTATATAGTAAGCCACACCAACCCGCCATTGCATGTTTGTGTGTCTATCTTTATCTAATTTTAGCGACGATATTGTTTACGTAACTTGTGTAAGTGAGATAGATATATGTTTATTTAAAATTGTTATTAGTTTCAAAGCTACGTCGTCGCGTTTGGATAGTGGTTACACATTTTTCGACGCGCGGTAATGTGGTTTGCTCCTCTAGTGTTGTATAACTCAATGCTTAAAACACATTATGAAGATGGCAGTGACAAACTAAATTATTTGATAAACAGTTTTCTACATTTCTTTGTTATGTATTTTAAGTGAATAAATAATTAGAAATTTGTTTTTTTATTTTATTATGTTCTTTTATATCGAGCTCTGGGACAGGTAACCTAAAAAAATACCCCAAAAAAAGGACAAAATTTTTCCGCCTCACGAGAGAATTGCAGATAATCTGATTAATTATAAAGATGGAATTTGTGGAGATATATACCACATTTAATAGTTTCACTCAATGGATAGATCATAAGATGAACATGGACAAAACAAATATCATGTTTAATGTCCGTGTCACACCTATGTCGGTAGTTGTTGGGAGCACTAAGCTGGAAGTTGTTGACGAGTACGTTTACCTGGGACAAATAGTCTGACTAGGTAAGTCCAACTTCGACCGAGAGGTCAATCGACGGATTCAACTCGGCTGGGCAGCGTTCGGGAAATTACGACGCATCTTCTCGTCAGGTATACCTACCTCAAAACCTGAAAACAAAGTTGTACCACCAGTGCGTGTTGCCAGTGATGACCTACGGAACTGAGACGTGGTCCGTCACTGCTGGCCGTATGAGGACGCTCAAAGTCGCTCAGCGAGCTATGGAGAGGGCTATGTTCGGAGTTTCTCTGCGTGATAGAGTCAGAAATGAGGATATCCGCAGTAAAACCAGAGTGACCGACATAGCCCAACGGATTAGTAAGCTGAAGTGGCAATAGGCCGGCCATATAGCTCGAAGAACCGAAAACCGTTGGGGAAAAAAGGTTCTCGAGTGGCAGACTCGTACCGGTAGGCGAAGTGTAGGACAACCCCTCTCTAGACAGAGTCACGACCTGGTAAGACATGCACGTAGTCGATGGATGCAGGTGGCTCAGGACCGTGCTTTGTAGCATACCTTGGGGGGAGGCCTATGTTCGGTAGTGGACTTGTGAAGGGTTGTAATGATGATGATGATGATACCACATTTATATTTTGTATTAAGTTATCATTCATCTCCGCTAGGGTAATGTTTTGTGATGTTTACCAACTAAATTGGATAACAGAAAAACACGATTTAAAACAAATCGCGAAATATAAAAAAACAACAGTGCGAACGCTAACGTTGACAAATCTATAGATAAACAAGTAAAATGTCTATGTTGTAATCAATGCGAACACAGCTAAAAACAAATCATGATATCTGTTGAAAATTTTACACAGTTTTTGTGAGTGCGAACGCTACCATCAACAAAACATGTTGTGTGATTTATTTTATGCGATTTGTTTCAAAACATTACATGTTGGATGTTTCTCAGTGCAAACGTACTGTAATTGTTGTGAATTTTTGTGCGGGAACTTGGCCGTAGACGGATTGTCACTCCTGTTTTGTCGCTTTAATAATGGTTTGGATTTTGATTCGTAAAAGTGATGCGCTTTTGTGAATTAAGTGTCCGCGCGTGTGAACTATTACAGAAAACGACGAAACATGTGTTTTGAAGTCGATATAAACCTCAAGTTATTTTGATCGCTTGGGCGCCTTATGAACCTGAGTGGTTATCGTCATTAACTGTCCGCTAGGTTGAGCTGTCGTCAAAATCTCTCAATGGCTTCGCAATGTGACGCATCAGTATATTGTGAAGAAAAAGAATATAAAGTGAAATTCCGAAAGAAATGATAGGCTTAGAAGGGTTAGAACTCAGAGCCGTAATGCCATTTAATAAAGATAAATATAATATTTGTGTCTATGGTGGTCAACAATATAGTTGTGCCAAGTGCCGACTCGGAAAAATTACGACTCGAGTTAACTCGAGTTGAAATTCACGCAACTCGAGTTAAAACTCGAGTTACGCAATTCGAGTTAAAACTCGAGTTAGCCGGACGAAACATAATAAATGATTTGCTACAAATTACTTTTTTTATTTTTTTTATATCTAGCTGTTTTGTGGGTTGGAATAACTAAAAACACATTTTTATTACTAAATTTAGTAGATAGGATTGAAATAAAAAGGTGTATTTTGTTGGTCTCACAAACTCATAAATTATTGGTTTTAATCTTAGTTATAGTAAGTACCTGTATTTAACAACAAAACTAGCTATGTAGCAGACTTCACAAAAATATCAGTCTAGCTTTAAGATGTAGGTACATAAGCTATTAATAGTTTAACTATCACCTCCAAAATATTCTTAAATAACTGTGCTACATATTATAAAATTCTAAATAACAAATAATTTTGGTTCTAGCTCTTTGCTAACTCTTTTCATTTATCGCATTCGCCGAATTCGATAACGAATTTATTCACCTAATTAACAAGATAAATATATAGATAGAATAAAAGAAAAATAATACCCAAATATTAAAGTACTTGTTAGTTAACACACGTAAACGTATTTTCAACATCAATATTCTCAAATAACTAATCATAACTTCTTCCAAGGTAAGATATTAATAAATAAGTTAGTATTTTTTGCAAAAAATAATATTAAATAATAAAAATATAAAAAAACTAGAACTATCTTCTTAAGTCAATAAAAGTTATGTTTTATGAATAAATTAAAGATAAATATAAAGTGTAACCAGTATATGTTGCAAAATAAAGAAGACAAAATGTATGTGATGACAATATGTAATGTAACAAAAATAATGCTGTTGAGAAATAAAATTTGGACTAGTTTTTTAAGTGCTAGACGGTTTCTTCTATCATTACACAAAATTCCGGTTTTAGATAATAAGCGCCTGAAGAAAATTGTTGCCGGCAGTTGTGTTGATGATCGGCAAATTTCGTATATTCGACGGTGTCATTAGGTCGATTCACTATGGCGGGAATACAAAGCGCGTACATAACGAATGAATCGCGCGCTTACTCATTCGCTGGCTCACTTGATTCGTTCATTACGTAGTACTCTTACTAGTTTGTGATCGTTCATGTACAGCCAGCTCAAACCCGAGTTCGGGAGATCCAACCATGGACCAAGTATGGGAATCCAACTCGAGTTAACTCGAGCTAAACGCAACTCGAGTAAATTGACTCGAGTTAGTAACTCGAACTCGAGTTGACCCATCGCTTGTAGCATAGATAAGAGTGTAGGATTCTCTGTCTACGGTATGTACTAACTAGGATTCTCTGTCTACGGTACTAACTCTTTCTATGGTACTAACGTAGTAACGTATTCGTAGTGTATTAGTCAACAGCATAGATTACTGACAGAGTACCTTTGTATAAACTGAAAGATTACTGTATATACTAGGTCAACACCACCTGGTACCTGCAACAATATTTGAACAGCAGAATACTTTAATATTAAATATATATATAAAATATTAGAATACTTTAACGATTACTAATTTTGCACACTACTTTTACATTGAGGTATAGGTTGACATGTCTTTGGAGATTTCTATAAAACAGATATGCGAGACTCTGAAGTCAAATAAAGTTTCTGAAAGAAAGAAAAGTGCCGAAAAGTTAAAAGATTTTCTTACACGAAATGCTGTTCCTGATATGCTTTCTGATAATTCTCGAAAGAAGGTTGGCTTCACATGGAATGATTTATTCGACGATGTTAATGAGTATATATTAAAGGTAAATATTTTATTTGTTTAAAAAAGCTAGGATATGCCTTAACTTTTTTTCAGCTTGCAACAGTCTACAGCTGGACATAGTTTTCTTGTACACTGCAGTAATTACCATGTTTCGCAGGCTAATTTGGCGATCACAGCACTAGATGGCATGCACTTTGACATAACTTTTTTATCTGGTATCATGTCTGGCATAAATGAGATGGCTTGATGGTGTTTTCAAACAACATACAAAAATTAACCATATATGAATATAGTATATAGACTGGATATAAAACTGCACTCTGTTACACATTCACATTAGATATATCAGACTGCACACTGTGAAGTGTGCACGTCTGGTAGAAATATCACTTTAAAGTTGGGCTTCTACCGTCCACACTTGTGACTGTGGAGATTAAGATATTACCCTGGACCTCTAGATACGCCGGCGTGGTTACTACCAACTAACCCACAGTCTGTCATAATAAGTGAGAGAGAGAAAGAAGAATAAACTGCATTTACATTAATTATAATATTATGATTAGATATGCTCTTCGCGTTCTTTAATAATTTTGCCACAATAAATTCTTTCTCTATAGCATTGTGTGACAATGGGCCCACAGTCCACCTTATGGTAAGTGGATGCTATGGTCCATAGATATCTAAATTTATCTTGAATTAACACATTGAACGCCACACGCCCCACCGGTGGACCTATCATGACTTTCCATTGGGGCCAAGAAAAATCACATAATCCGTAATTTTTCACAACTTCAGATTTGTATACCAAAGTTTGGTAAATGCAATGATATGTGTAGAAAATAAAAATAGGCAAAATCTATGGACTAGTTTAAGAGATATAGCAAGAGGCTCACCGGTGGGCTGTGTGGCCTCCTATGAAGGTTTACAGAATTTCGGTTGGCGGGGGCCACGAGGTCAATCGGCGGCTCACCACGCATCTCATCAGTGTTGCCATTTGGCGCTAGATCTAGTGCAATTCTAGGGTATATAGCACTTTTTTAAATATCTAAGCACTAAAAATATCTAGTGAAATCTGGCAGAAAGTTTGATATAAGTTGGCAGCACAGTGTGATAAAAAACACTAGCGAGTCTATCGTTCGTGATTGTTCGGATATATTCCAACCAAAATGTTCTTCTTCTTCTTCTTTTAAATTATGGCTTCTCTTGGTAGAATTCTGCCAGTGTCAAGTCAGTCATGGAAGTGACAAGATGATAATAGGTAAAATAAGAGTTCTCAATTTAATGAGTGGGTTCACAATCTACAACAAAAGACGTCACATATTTAAACTACCATCACCAAAGTTGTTAAGTAATTTTACAGTTTAATATTATTAGTACGAATAAAAGCACATAAAATATTTACGAAGGGAGTATACACTAGGGTTAGCAAAAATTGGAAATTTACTGGACGAGGGATGTAATATTGCTGATGCATTAATTGTTTTACCTCCCTTTTGCATTATGGCATGTAGCTGTTTTGCCTTTCATTATATAAATCCTCTAAGCTTTAGTACCTGAGAAGAACTTGTTTTATTCCGAGTTTTGTGTAAGTTTTTTAGCTCAGTTTTGATTGTTTCGTGAACATTTTGAATGGAGTTGCCACTGAGGAAGAAAGCTTATAGCCAGAAATATAGATCTGAGTAGGGAGCAAATAGCGTGGAATTTAATTGGTCAAATAAGAAGGTGATGGTGATGATATAGTGAAAGACCAAGAAGAAAGAAACACACTCTGGAAAAGAAAGAGGGCTTGGCAAGAACCGTCAGAAGGACATGTCACTTAGGTTACGCAGACAACGTCTCAATCATGGGTAACAAAGAAACTAAATCAAAAACTACTACTAAAGGTATTAACATATTGCCAAAAATGTCCAGACCAACCTCCTTGCTTACCTTGTTTCAACAGGATCCATTCATAATGTTTTTATAATAGTTGACTTTTATATATATAAGTTACATTTAATGATGATTTATATAGTTTAGTTTTTATCGCAGAAGAAGCGTCATTATTATGTTCTGGTTATGAAGAATTTAATAATTTTAAGTTGGTTTTGTTGTAAAAGAAGTACCATGTTAAGTTCGATAAACTGATGGTTTCATTATTTTTACTTATTTTTAATGTAATAAACATATAATTATTTTCTTTTGGTTTTATTCACGCTATTTATACAAACAAAAAATAAGGCATATCACTAAGATCATATTTAGAACTTTACCTTTGATACAACTACAAGTTTCTATGGGATTTGAAAAACACGTTGTCTGGAGCAGTCCAGGGGCCATGCGGCTCACTTCCATACGTGTTTTGTTTAATAACTGCAATCTGTGGCTTGTGAGACCCGTTTACAGTAAACCTATTGCGCAGCTCACCGGTGACTCCCGTGGCCTGAATGGAACAACTAGGTAAGGCTCACCGGTGGCCCCCATGGTCCTAACGGAAAGTCTCAATTTTTTGCGTGGCGTTCAACGTGTTAAGGATCTCAATACAAATGCGTTGTCACCCTTGAGGACTAAGATTGAATGCCTCAATTCCATTAAAAAGAGTCTCCGATTTTCTAGTCATTCCGATACTGATAACAGCCTGACTCTTCGTATGTCACATGACGGTCATCTAATATAATAGTTCGCACAGCTGCGATGTTTTCAGGCGTGACCACTGTTCTTGGTTGACCTGCAGAAGAAATAGTGCTGAGCGACACACGACCGCATCGGAACTCGGCATATCACATGTATATTGTATTGTCGTTTGACGCGATGCTTCAACATCATAAATCGAAACAAGTTCGCTGAGACATTTATCTCAAGATAAGCCGCGACGCAAATTGTGATAAATTATGCAGCTCCATTTCTGTTAACGACGTGTCAACTTTAAACCAACATAGTTCTTGTTTTTAAACATTTTTTTAATTGTTTGATTGTCATTAAGATTCTGAGGCCAGTATTCGAATTCTAAAAAAGGTTTTATAGTAAATCAATCCGAAATATTCTACTCCCGATCATTTCAGTGTGCCCCTCGTATTTTACTATATTAGTGTAATGAAAAAATGTCTCTCATATTACTATACAAATACCATATTGAAGGTGACAGAGGGAAGTGGAGCAGGGGCAGCATTTTTCTTATGTCAACTCAAAACATTTAATAAAAAACACAGTTACCAACTACCCTGAAACTATAGCAAATGAGACAATCTATGGAGAGGCCTATGATCAGCAGATCAGTGGACTTTTTCAATAATTGTCCAAAATATTATTATTTTCAGGAAACAGAAAAATTTGAATCTTCCAAAAACTTTAGTACTACTACATATCCATTATGTACAAGCATCCTACATTTGTGTGTAGCTGGTTCAAACAAGGGTAAATTATATTATAAATAGTTATATAATATATAAATGTTTTGATTTAAATTTACTTTATAGGTTTCGGAGAATTTTATAGATTGTTAATTTTTTGTTACCAACTAATAACATTATAATAAATTGGTACTGGTATTTCAAATACTTAGTTTTTGTTTTTCTATTACCTATTAATTTTTAGCCATTTTGTTTAGCTTTGGTTCCCAAACTTTTAAAAATAAATCGGGTAAAATTTATATACTTTATTCTGTGCTTTTAGGTAAGACATACATAAAATGTGAGAAGATTATGGAAGCATGTCTTATAGTACTAAGAGACAAGCGATTAACAAATGCAGTTGGAGATGCATATCTAAGTCTGTTGTACAAATATGTATTATGTAGTGAGAATTATTCTAATTATATAACACCTAGCACATGGGATGGTAAGTATAAAGAAAGAGTTTCTTTTTTATATTATTTGATGCTTCCCTGGCCGATCTTATGAAAAGCAAACCGAAAATATTTTGACGGTTCAGTAATGCAGTCGCCAAGCTAAGTTTGTTCAAACCCGCACCGCCGCAGAATGGGGGGTCCCACCGTAGCCTCAATTTCACTCGCGCGACGGACCCCACAGAGTTCAATACGCAACGAGCATTCGGAAACACCAGCTTTCTTCACCTCAGCGGGGGATCTGGTCAGTGGCTCCGCCGCCAACCAAGTTTTGGCCGCGAAGAGTAGGAAGAGCGGCGCCTCGTAATACCGACCGTCCAAAGTGGGCTTGCCAGGCTCTTCACCTCAGCCATGTGGGTTCCCCTTCATTAACTGTGAATGACCAAGCTACAGCTAGGTCATCATCCTATAACTAATGAAATGAAATAATGAAAATTCAAATGAAGTAATGAACAATCAAATTAAATAATTATGTTGTTTATTATGTGATTACTGTACTTTCAGATTTACTTGATGTTTGCATTACATCAAGCTTTTCAAATGTTTCCAAATTGGATGATTACATGAAATTAAAACTTCTCTGGCTTGTTATAAAAAATGCTGGGGAATGTTGCCAGTTCGCATTTTCAATGCGAAATCATTTGTCCAAAATATCCAAATATTTTCAAAAAGTTAGCAATAACAAGAAAGTGCTAGATATTATTATAGATTTAATGATTACGATATTAGAAATGGTAAGTGCTGAACATAATTTATTTATTTACTTTACTAATATTTATTTTTTCGTATAAATTTGAACCCATATTCTAAAGTTGAAGTTGAAGTTGAGTTGATATTATGTGTATATATTATATGTCCAAATACCAAATAATATTATATGTTAAGTATTTAGGAAATATTTTATATAATATGCATATCTTTTGTGTTAATTGCTTAAATATGATATAGCGCATGTTGTATTCCAAATTATTTATCCTTTATTGTTACACCTTATAACTAAGGTAACAATAGGAAACCTTAATGCCTATCGGCAGTCCCTGTCGGTCAATCTGTATCAATTTATTTTTCATTTGCAAATTAAATGTTCATAAAATCATTACAGTTAACTTAACCAAAAAGTGATTCTTTTAATTGAAATACGGTCATTAAGAAGAATAAGAATTTTCTCACCTTATTATTCGAAGTTGTATGTAACTTCGAATAATAAGGTGAGAAAATTCTTTCTTTTTTGTGGCGGTTTGGTAAAATTCGCCAATGACGTATTGAGTAGAAAATGAAAGCTTATGAGTTTAATTAAAATAAGAGTCTGTGATAATACAAGGATTTAGTTTTCCTCCTAGAATTTTGACAAATCTATCTGTTGAATCACCTAGAACAAATGACAAACACAGTTAGAATCTTATTAGTATTGTTACGAGCTTAGGGTTCGTGACAATAAAAACTGCCGATTGAATTACCAAAATTGACACTTTAATTTCCGAACACCAATTAAAACTAATACACACGAATAATCAATCACACTTTACACTTTAGTTCACTTTATTTCGCTCCGAAAGCTTCGCTCGTATCGCCAATTCAATACTGCTGCGGTCGCGACACTCAACGGTTTTAAATAGGCCTTTTCCACCGAAACATCTAGAATATTCTAGCAAATACCGGTCCCGACCGACTATGCGGAGAAAGTTCGAGTGTAGAGTTTTCCAGAAAGCTTAGTTCTTCTATTCGATACCAGATGGCGCTAGAGGTTGAAAGTTCCAGCATGGCGTATTTTGGAAAGCTCTCCTCGTTCTGTTCCCCGATACTAGATGGCGCTAGTGGCAGGTACCAGACATCAACTTAGGCGCGCAACAGTATGTTGGAAGTGACAAGCATTTAAAGTTTCATGTTATTAGTATTAATAAAATCACATAAAATATACACAAAAGGAATGCTTGGATATGTTAAAAGATAATAAAAATCTATACGTCGAGGAATGTAAGGAAGAAGGTAATCATAAAGGGAGGAGGATAATTTGGGACAGTTGAAAAAAAAATGGTTTGTGGAACCTTTATCTAAGCCACATTCACACAATGAGCTTCCCTAACTCTGATTTTTGCCAGATGTACATGTGTATAAGCATGTTCAATTCTCAATCTACAGGTTGCATATTTATTTGCTTTGTTAAATTTAAAAGACTTGGGAGGAATAACCTCTTGGCTCTTGGATGGCAACATAGTGCTTAACATTTTTGGATACTTCCCACAATTAATTTCAATTTTCTTTCAGTTTCCTTTTAGCTAACAAAATTAGGTCATGTGAGTATATTAAATTTTGTAGAATGTCATTAACAAATTGCATTTTTAGTGAGTAAATCAGCTGTTTCGTTTCCATAGATACCACTGTGGCCAAGGATCTAAGGCTACTGACACATGGATTCCTTTAGGATGGCATTCTGAATAGGGTATTTTTTATTTTGAGAATTAGTGGAAATTTATATTTGTTATAGAATTGATTGGACAAAATAGCTACCAAGCAACTTTTTAAATCTGTGAAATAACTGTTTTATTAAGATTATGTGACTCGACATAGCTAATAACAAAGCTTCACTGATTGCAGTTGCTTCACTGGTAAAAGTGGAGGATAATGAGTTGCATTTAAAGTTAAGAATGATTTTGAACTTAGGAAGCCAAACAGTAGCTCCAGTACAGTCTTCATCAGACTGTTTGGAAGCGTCTGTGTACATGTCATGCCAATCTTTAAAGGTTTTTTCTATAATTTCTTTTAATTTTAAATTTCTCATTGGAGAATCCTTTTCTATACCTAGATCTAGATGGATGTCCGGTTCGTAAGCAACTGCCTCGTTAGGAATATCAAAGAGTGGATTTATTTCACATTGAAAGATTGGTTAAGAAAGCTGAAGAAAAATTACATAACTTTTAAAAAAGCAGGGGGAATCCTTATGGGTCCAGAAACGGTCAGATGAGTACTTCGAAAGAAGATGCAACTTAGGAATTAGGGGAAGATCTGAAAGCTGGCAGATCTTAAATAAGAATCTTAAAGGAGGATCTACGCACTCAACCTGAAGAACATTTATTAGTGAGGATTTCATTTCCCCTGTAATAATGCGAAGGCATTTCGATTGAATTTTGTCCATTACTCTCAGGGATGATTTAGCAAGGCTCCAAGGGAAAACATTCATAGTCAAGGTGGCTTCGCATTAAAGCATTGTACAGTAATTTCTGAGAAAAAGGATGGGACCCTCACTAAACACCAGCCGAAGACCGAAGAATATTTTTTTTTCGCATTTTTATGTTATATATTTAATGTGATGACCGAAGGCCAATTTCGAATCGAGGATAACTCCCAAAAATTTATCATTGCCTCTAACTGGAATAGGTTGATTATCACGAACAACAAATATATCGGGAACTCGCCTTGACGGGAAAGGATCACCACATTGCTTTTGGCTACAGATAAAGAGAGGTCATTGATTAGTTAACCATTCTTGTAAATAATTCATGGATGAGTTTAGACGGGAACATGCTACTGTAAAATTGTCTAAAGAAATGTATAGAGCTAAATCGTCTGCATATTGAAGGACATTACAAAAAGGAATTTACTGAAAGCTCTAAATCATGTGTATGTATAGAATAAAGGAGAGGACTAAGCACTGAGCCTTGTGAAAGTCCTTTGTATATAATTTTTGGAGGAAGCAGGAAATTTTGAACATTTATAGATATGGACCTAGAAGAGAGAAAGTTAGAGACAAAACTGACTATTGTCACTGGAATGCTCAGATTGAGCATTTTCTGCCTGAACACAGCAAGAAGCACATTATCGTGCAGACGAAATATCCAAGAAAACTCCTATGAGAAATTCATGTCTTGAAAAAGCAATACGAATATCTGTGACCAAAGTACTAAGGATATCCATGGTACTTAAGCCTTTTCGGAAACTGAATTGGCTTTTAGGTAAGACATAATTCCTTTCCAAAAACCGTTCCAAGCGATTTTTTATTAAATGTTCCAAGTTTTTTGTCAAAGTACATGAAAGGGCAATAAAGGTAATAATAATGTAATAATAATAATAAGCAAATAAGGTCGGTAACTGGAAGGGTCATTGCTAGACTTACCTGATTTGAGAATGGACAAAATGCATTGGGTTTTCCATTCAGCATGATGTGCACCAGTAACATAAATAAAATTTAAAATGTATAGTTTTAGTGTTGTCACTTCTATTAATTATAAACGAATAAGAAATCTCATCCATACCTGGCGAGGAGTCTTTAAAGCCATTGAGTACAGTAAACAATTCCTGAGAAGAAAAGGGGGAATCAAATTTATTATGTTTTTGTAAAGAAGCAGAATTAAAACTAGGCATTCATCATAAGATGGGACTGTTTGTGGTGCAAGTTTATTAGAGAATTCATCATACAGGGGACACACATTCATAGAGGATAGACATTCATAGAGGGGAAGGATCATTAGAAATTTTATTTTCACTGAAAATTGCACAGCGATATTTTTTAACATTTCTCCAGACCAAAGATGGGAGATTCCTAGGTGACAGTGACTCACAGAATTTAAACCAACCGGTTCGCTTTTTGTCTGACAGTAATTTTAAGGTTTTTGCACCAATTTTTTATAAGATATATAATTCTCTCTTTTCTTCTCCTACAAGCTACTGAATAATGTTGGTCCCACCGAGAAGGGGAAGGATAATTATTTTTGAATGGTTTTTAAGGGGTTTGATTTATTAGCAGCAGGAAGAATTGCATTTCTGAACTCTATATATACAGGAACAACGTTATCATTGTTAATTGGGGGAAGAATTGAAACCTCTCGTTCCAAAACTGTAGAATATAATTGCCAATTAGCTTTGGATAGATTATACTTTAGTCTCGGGCAAAATGTAAAATTTATTCTAGAGGAAGTAAGAAGAGTGATAAATATAGGAAAATGGGCACTGCCATGACTAGAAGGTAATATTTGCCACAAAGGAAGGAAGCAATATCTGGAGAACAAAGAGTTAGGTCAACAGCACTTCTAACATTTTGTAATGGGGATACTCGACGACTTGGAGACCCGTCGTTTAGAATACAGAGATTAAAATTGTCAATAAGAGATCTTATTGACAATTTTAATCTCTGTAAAAATAAGGGAGCCATTGAATCACAAAGATGAGGGGCCCCAAATAGTGTGATGCTTGAATAAAACTATTATTTACGGATTTTATCGCGTTTAATTACTTTAATTTATTTTTATTATTATCCCGACGTTTCGGGTGCTTTACAGCGCCCATGGTCACGGGGGGGACTGAGATGTTTGACGTCCCAATGTCATAGTTAGTCCGGCTACCTTCAGTTTTTTAATATTAATTTTTGGTCCGATTTACGCAAAACGAGCTTATAGTATCATGAAGTCTTGCAGTGGTATGCTTGGGTTTGGGTTTAATTTTGTGGATTATAGGATCCCAAGCAGATGGTAGCACCCAACCATCTTCTCTATTGAAATTTGGATGTTTTTTAATTTCAATAGCCTCGCGTATCATCCTTGGTAGGAATCGGTGTTCTTTTGCGAGAATTTGTGGTTTATCAAATCTAATGTAATGGTGGGGACGATCTTGAACATGTTCGCAGACTGCAGACTTCCACACATGCGACGCGAACATGTTCAAGATCGTCCCCACCATTACATTAGATTTGATAAACCACAAATTCTCGCAAAAGAACACCGATTCCTACCAAGGATGATACGCGAGGCTATTGAAATTAAAAAACATCCAAATTTCAATAGAGAAGATGGTTGGGTGCTACCATCTGCTTGGGATCCTATAATCCACAAAATTAAACCCAAACCCAAGCATACCACTGCAAGACTTCATGATACTATAAGCTCGTTTTGCGTAAATCGGACCAAAAATTAATATTAAAAAACTGAAGGTAGCCGGACTAACTATGACATTGGGACGTCAAACATCTCAGTCCCCCCCCGTGACCATGGGCGCTGTAAAGCACCCGAAACGTCGGGATAATAATAAAAATAAATTAAAGTAATTAAACGCGATAAAATCCGTAAATAATAGTTTTATTCAATGTGTAGTGTTCGCGTAAATTTAAGAAATCATTATAGTGTGATGCTTATTAAATTCTTCTAAAATAAGCATTGGAGGTGACAGAGAAGAAATAAGTGTTGCAAGTTCTGTTAAGACATTTACTTCAGGATTAGGAATGTAAACAAAGAAGATATCAAAAACCTTAATAGCAACAGCAATTACTGCTGGACTATGAGAAGGGACAGAAATGTGTGAAAATGTAACTGTTCTTGAAATGAAAATAGAGGTACCAGCACGACCGACAATCCTATCATCCCAGAGGCATGCGTAGCCTGAACCTTAAAGAAACTTAAAATGAGACTCAGACCTAAGCCACATCTCATGGATGGCAAGAATGAAGGGATGAAATTTATTAATGAGGTAAAGGAGTTCATTTTTTTATTTCTAATGTTCCGACAATTCCATTAAAGAATTGGTGGGACTGCGTATGTTACGGGCTAAAGACGAAAGCTCAGTAAGTTTCTGATGTAAATTACATGGAAGTTCAGTATCACTAAAACGGGATAACATACTAATAAGCATGGAAATTAATAGTTCAAAAAGGTTATCATTTGGTGAAATAGATTTTTTCTCTGTCAAGGCACATCCATTAGATAAAGACGAGGCATTTCAGACAGAGGGGTTTCAGTAATTGCATGATGAGCAGGTTTGTAATATCCAATACCTATAGATGCTGGATTCGGAGAATGCCTGGGAATGAATATAGTTTTTCTGTGGGAAGAGATTTTGGATGAGGCAGGTATTGATGTAGATGGATCACTTGGTACAGTATGGGAGATTTGCTGTATATTAGGATTGAGAGCTCTTGTGGTGTCTGCAAAAGATTTTCTCACTGGAGGGAATCTTACTGAGGCTTCCAAGTAAGAAATATTTTCTTGAGACATTACTAATTTCAGAGATTTTTGTCTCTGAGTGTTCAGGGCAAGAAGGATTTTTGTTGAATGGGAACCAGAGCAAATTAAGCAAGTAGGAGTTAGGCGAAAACAAGATACTCCTTCATGGTTTTGAGCGCATATAAAACAGCGAGAGGGAGACCTGCACTCTACAGAAACCTGTCTAACTATTCCCATTCGAGTGACATTATATGAGGGTATCACAGTTTCATATTTGGCTGCCGATAGTATTGGCATCGGATGCATTTTTAAATTCAACATTTATTCTGTTGCGTTCTACTCGTTTGACACCATCGCAAACAATATTTTTGATATTATTGTGAAAAAGGAAGTGGCCAAATTTAATAGGTTTTGAAACTAATTGTTCCGGATGGTAAGTCATTCGCCATTTTACTCACATGAACTATAAGAGGTGAAGCATCCTCATCAGACTATTTAGACTTTGTTCAATGTAGCCAGGGTGGAGTTTAAATAGATTGGATCGATGGTGAAGGTTCTGCTGGGTTTATTATCAACCTCGTTTGTGGGCTAATTGTACCATTTGTGCTATCATTGTTGCTTTGTTTTTTTTTTTTTTATAGAAGCAGGGGCAAACGAGCATGTGGCTCACCTGATGTTAAGTGACTACCGCCGCCCATGATCAACCGCAACACCAGGAGAATTGCAGGTGCGTTGCCGGCCCTTTAGAAAGGAGTAAGCTCTTTTCTTGAAGGTCCCCAGGTCGTATCGGTCCGTTCTTTGTGATCGTTTGCGATTAATTTGCTCTTATCCACTGATATGGGAGGACGAGTAATAACCAGGGAACACCATCCGGATCGGGAGGATCCTCCTCCATTTTATTTAAACTGAAACAAATACAGAAACTTTTTTATTCAATGTAGATTATAAACAATACTTATTGAAAGTCGCTTTTTTCATTTACCACTGGTTCGCAAAAAAATACCTCTGTCCTGGGAAGAACCAGTAAGAAACCCAGCGGGACTATTTTTTTTTTCAAATAATAGCTTACAGTCATGTTTACAATTAACAACACAAGACAAATTAGAAATAGCTTGGTAGCGATAACCCTTCCCAGGGGTTATTATCATCTATAAATTCCTTAATATTATAATAACCCTTTTTATACAAACTTAGTTTAAAGAAATCACATATAAATCTAAACTACTAATCAACGCTTACTTTTAAAACTTAAAACCACAACCAACAGAAATTAAGATTAATTAATTAAAGCAAATCAAAAAAACTGCAGATGCCACCCCGCCTGTAAATGTGTTAACTACGTCAAAATTTCCCTATGAGGTAATCTATGGAGGGGAGGTATGTTCAGAATTGAACTTTTATAGGCTGAATGGCAGTTTATTTCCGATGCTATGCCGATACGAGCTGCTTGTTATACACTACACTTTACCTTATGTTAATGTAAGGAAAAATGTCAACCACCCACAAAAAAATCATACAGATCATCTGCCTCTTCTGTTTTCGCCCTCAGCATAGTTCTTTATTATGCAATTCTGGGCGGAATTCTCGTAGCACTTAGTATCTTGGTTGATTCATAATAACTTGCTGTGCCCACATCATTAAATAAAAATAAGTACAACTCTATCCAGGATTGGCTTGTTCATCTTTATCAAGGTTATGATAACACGTTAGTTTCCTTTTATACTAAAGAGTTCATCCGTATTGGTTCCATTACCTTAACAACTCCTGACGGTAAACCATAGTGCACACAAGCGTTTCCTTCATCCTAGCATTCAATGTCGGATGTTGGTTGACGATGCTTATGCGCAGCAGTTAACTTACCATCAATCAGACTATTTGTTACTATAATGTTATAAAAATAAATCTACAGTATAGGCTTTGTCTGTTTATATTATTACGAAAAACCCAGAGCTAGACATGGACGTATCCCAATATAGAAGGATTTGCCTTAATCGTCCCACTTGGCAGAAGTGACCACCTTTGACGCTGGTCAGGGTTTTTTTTACACCGAGCGTAAAAAGATGATTGTTCCACGATGTATCATATCAGACGCAATAAGATCTCGTAGCATCCAACTCTTAGTCAGTGAGGCGTCAACGGTTCACTTATTTTTGCGTCTATACTATTCAAATAAAAACAAATTTATACAGTCCTTATATTTTTCTCAACATCTTTTATAAGCTCTCTCTTAAAACCAATAAAAATGTGGCAGAAATTGTTTAGTTTCATTAATCTACATTTATCATAATATATTACTATTGACCAAATGACAAAATTTAATATTTTCTGCCACCACCTTTTTTTATAGTGCCACAACTCCTAAATTGCAAATTAATATAATTTATTTCTTAATTAAATTTTTATTGCATTCCTTTGAGTCTATGTAAGGATATGGAGGGCGGACTTAAGGTGATGTGGGCGCCAAAAGCAGATTTTTCACGCTTTATAGGTGCTTAGAAAAGCAATTTTTGTCATTAAAAATTACGAAACAACGTTTCTTTTAAATTCATAATGAAAGTTAGATTTTTCTTAGTGAATTATGTTGCCCAAAACACGATTGACACATTTTGGCTCGATAGAAAAAGATCACAAAGTTTCCTAAAAATCTACAATTTTAGATACGTCCACTAAGTGAAAAAGCTCTTTCATTCGAATGTAATAAAATCAATTTCAATTAAATTCAGGCTATGTGTTCACCAGTAATTACGTGAGTGAATTATGGGTTTATTTTTCAATAAAAGAGTATATATAAATTTAAAAAGAAATATCAAATAAATATTGTGCGATTAAATAGCGCGTGGGCCGACCAAACAGCCGCCAGTCGCACCTATAAAGCGTGAAAAATCTGCTTTTGGCGCCCACTTCACCTTAATGCCTTTGCTAAATTATTTGTTACATGTTCGTTTTTTGAACTGTGATGTTAGTAATGTTTCATTGTTGTATTCTTGATTTCAGCTTTATTTTGAGAGCCGATTAAGTATGTGCAATTTCGCAGAAAATAATTTACCACTCATATTTCAGTTTTATGAGCAAACTTTGGATGTAAAAAAGAAGGTAATATAGTGTTGTTACGTAAATTTATTAAACTAAATGCTTACGTTTATTTTTTTTAAATTATTTGTTATGTTTTTATTTTATATGTATAATTAATTAAATTGATTCAATTACTATTAAATAAGCAACATTTTTTATTTTAATTTAAATGTTCTATCTGTATTCAAAACTAATTTTTGCAATTAAATGGTGGAAACAGAATATTATGTATAATGTGACTGTTCTAGCTCTTAGTGAATGCAAATATTAGATTAATAGAATGAAATATTTGAGAAACTATATAAGGATAATGCTCTTAACCACCAACATGCAGTATAAGATCAAATCCATAAAAACATAAATGTTATGGAATCAAACACTTACATAAGCCTTATCTTTCTATTCTATCTTTCTCGTCTTTTTATTGTCTGCCAATGTTTTTGTTTCTTTAAAGTTTGTTTAAAGTTACAACTTGTTCATCATAGTCTGCATATGACGAGGAAAAAATAATGGCGTTAATATTGAAAAATCGCCGGTGCTTACATGAGAGAACACATCACCTCGATTCGATAAGAAATAACTATGGGAAATGCTTGAAAGATCATTTGTTTTCCCATAAATGGCGGAGCAACAACTTGTTTAGGTCAGGCTTAAAATATCCAGAGAGGTAATGGAGAGCAGTTTCGAAGGTGTGAGACGTCGCTGCAGCAGACATGATTACTGCACCAGCTTGCATGCCATGCCAGGCTGGCTTTTAATACAAATCCTTCCTGCAACGGATAACGTACATGTGGACAGATAACAACGCTCATACACTTTAATCTTTATTTCCTTTACTATTAGTAAATAAAATATTAATGATCTTACCCTAAGAACTTCTGAAAAGCACATAAAGTAATAAATTTAAGAATTTATTTTCATAACTAATAACTGAATGTTAACTGAACCTGCCACATTGTTTTGTAAAATATTTAATTTTTAATCATTTAACTGTTTCTTTTTAGTCGCAGCTGTTTAAATTATTTTATATATCAATAACGATTCATCATACACAAGGACAAATACAAAATGAAGAATCTGCTTTAGCCAGTAACTGGGATGCTTGGAACAAATGCCTACAAAATATTATGGATATAATTTGCCTTGAAACAACTTACATACAAAAAAGTCAGAAACAAAACCAACATACTGTACAAGGCTGTCCATTTTTCTATCAAGTTGCTGCATGTTCATATTTTCTGGTATGTATTATGGCTAAGATGTGACTAAGCTTAATTTCAACGAAACTCAGTATTCAGGCAATACCATTTTTTTGCGCCCGAAGTAATAAGGGCAACTCTCCGGAAAGCGGGGGAGGGAGGCGGTGAATGCTCATAGCATACCACGCAGCCGGCTGCGTGGTTATGTGGAGACTTTTACCCACTAAACACTTTAGAGAAAAGCCTTTAGAGATTGGCTTACTGATCTGACGAGAGATCTTTAAGCCGTAAACCGACGCGACCCTCCTTGGCAGAAAGGAGGGCGCAAGCGGCGAATATCCGCTTAGAAGTGTGCCTAACTAAGGCAGATTAATGGATGTGTTAAGTAGGCTCGGCCTGAGCCGCCAGGAGGCAGTTCAGGTCAGCTGAAAGCTTGTTGGGGGGGTCCGAGAGAGAGTTTCTCGGCCTGCGCACACTATAGCGAGTGTGAAGAGGGGCTGTATAGGCAGCTGTGTATTTGAGTAGGACTCAGAGGCTTTGAAAAATCTCAGAGAGTGATTTGAGGAACTGTTGAATTGTTGGGAGCTCTAAGTCTCAGTGGAGGTCGGCGTTACGGACATAATAGGGCGAGTTCGTGGCCCTACGACAGAAGAGATTTTAGGCAATACCAATATCGAATAGATGTCTTGTGACTTTCGAATGTAAAGCATAAGCCTAGAATGGCTAGGAAATATGAAGATGAAATGCTTTGCAGAAGTTTCATGCCAATGGTGGTAATTGGCATGATTCAAGTACAAAATTACTATAATATTATTTCTGTTAAGCTAAGGAAACAATTTTAAGTAATTACGCTGAAGATTACTAAATAACCTGATGGTGAAGTCTATGCTAAAGTGAAGCCCATTAATAGGATCTGATTTCTTTTGTGGTTTCAAGAAACCTACCTGGTATAGTTACTGATGCCCAAATATTGAAACGCTGCTCAATTTTAAGGTGCCATTAATTCTCGTGCTATCTTTATGACTTTAAGTCAAAGTGATTGTGATAACACGAGATCTCTCATGGCAAAATACTCCAATGTAATTAAGACATTGGAGTATTTTGCCATGAGAAATTTAGATTTGAAGTATTGGTAATTAATAATAAATGTAGATATTGATTATTTAATAAATAAGAGTTATTACTTATATTACACTCCTGGCTGACCAAACCAGAGTGATACTAAATTTTTGTTATTTGCAAAAATTCTTACTGTGATGTGCATATAGATCATATTACAGACAAGGAAAAATATGCTTAATTTTATGAGGCACTTATTTTAGCCTACTTGTTAGTATAAGGGGTATGCGATGAGATCCGTGATTGGACTTGGTTGTAGTTACCTTTTGATATTTAAAAAAAACACATCGTCCAGGAAATAAACAATTTATGTAGTAAACATTTATTAACATTCACTAATATTCGTATCTATGATCAGCAGATTAGTTTGCAGAGTCAAGCCTTTAATGCAGTGTTAAATTAAATTATTGTTACGAGCTTGAGATTCGTGACAATAAAAATTGTCGATAGAATTACCTAAATTAACACTTTAATTTTCTTTACACCAATTAAAACTTAAAACACTAAAAATTAATCACACTGATTCACTTTATTTCGCTCCGAAGCTTCGCTTGTCTCGCCAAATTCAATACTTCCCCGATCGCATCTTGCAGCGCCTATAAATACAAATTACCACCGAAACATCCAGAATATTCAAGTAAACATGCGCAAGGGGCCGAGAGTTCGAGTGCCGACTTCTAGAAGCTTAGTTCTTCGTTCCGAGACTAGATGGCGTTGTCGGTTGAAAGATTAGTGATGTCATTTTCTGGAAAGCTCCCCTCGCTCTCGTCCCTGACACTAGATGGCGCTAGTGCCGGATACATGACGTCGACTTATTCGCGCAACACTGCCCCCTCCTAAGACATGCTCGTCCCGAGCATTATCGGCCCCATAATAACGCGCCAAGCGATCCACATGGACGATCTTAGGAGTCCCGATCTTGCGCCTTTCTGTATCCGGTAGGTTACATCGTTGATCCTGGTTATAATCCGGTACGGGCTGTCCCATTTAGCTTGAAGCTTAGGAGATTTCCCTTTGCTGCGGACTGGATTGTGCAACCACACTAGTGAACCTTCGTCGAAGCCTTTATTGTTAATTTTGCGGTCGTACCGGGTTTTCATCTTCTCAGAAATTTGCTGGCCCGATTGTCTGACGTGCTTTTAAATGTCATTCATTTTGTTCCGCAAGTCATTTTCATAATCGGTTATACTGCGTGGGGCATCAGGTGGTATCCCGGTGATCAGGTCTGCAGGCAGCCGTAATTCTCTTCCAAAGTTTGCGAAAGCTGGTGTCACTGATGTACTTTCGTGAACAGCGCTTCGATAATATTGACAACAAAAACGGTTGTATGTGCTTGTCCTATTCTGGTTGCCGATTGTCTACAACTTTTGCTAGGTACCTCTCCAATGTCTGATTAAATCGTTCTATCATTCCATCAGATTGCGGGTGATAAGAAGTCGTTCTTGTTTTATGAGTACCCATAACTCGGCAAGTTTCCTGGAATATTTGAGACTCAAAATTCCTTCCTTGATCGCTGTGAATCTCTAAAGGTACTCCAAAACGACAGAAGACTTCATGAACTAGTTTATCACGGATCCCACTTCTGACACCAATTGTTACGAGCTTGAGGTTCGTGACAATAAAAATTTTAAAATAAAAAAAAAAAAATAATATTTTCTGCCGATTGGGGTTTTTTGTTCCCGGGCGAGAGGGGGGGGCGTGTGGTGTTTTTTTTTTAAGCTCTTGTCTCGTAGATTTTTTTTTTTTCTGTTTTTTATGGCGCTAGTGCCGGATACATGACGTCGACTTATTCGCGCAACATTATAATGTGTCTATAATACGGTGGTAATAGTACAAACATTTCGTACCAACTGAACTGTTTTTCACTTCACTCTAAACTCTATAAAATAAATATTATTGGCCAGTATGTTATTTGCAGATGTTTAAAATGTCAAAACAAGAAACTGAAACGGATGCTATAGAAAAATTCGCAAAAAAACCTAGAATCACAATAAACAAGAGCAAAAACTTCAATGATCTTCTACAAGAGTTCCAAAAGAATCATATTGCATGGTATGGATTTATTATTATTTCTTTTATGTTAAATTGTTATACACTTTATTTTTTATTATTTGTTTCGGTGACTACATATAAGAAGCTAAATACGTTTTATGTATATACTATCTAAATATATTTATCATAAATTTGTTTTAGGGTAGGCATTTTACAGATATATGTAAAACTATTTGGCTCTTCCATATCAACAGACGATTACCAAATTTTGATGCAAATTTTGGAAGAACTGGTAAATAACATCAATCTTATCCAAAACTGGGACGTTTTTGAAAGTCTTGTTTGTCTAGTTTTAAACAAAATAACATCGCATGATGGTGGTAATTCACATAAACATAATGAACTTATAACATCTTTTTGGAATTCATGTGTGAGGTAAATATTTAAATTTTATTGTCTTACTTAAATTTATATATATAAAGTCACCTTGACTCACATCTTTCTACAACTGAATAAGTATCATTAGTTTGACTGTCGGAAAAACAATCTAGCACCGATGAAAAGGCCTTCTTCTTATAGGTTTTACTTAATCTTCTGTATTATATGTAGCTTCGCTTCTGGTCAGTTTCTTTACTCACGTGATTGTAGGTACTATTTAATATTAATGTAAAATTATGTGATAGGATTGGTTTATTTAATTAATATATTCGATAACAAGACAAATATCGAATATTGTACATTTGGCATTGTTAGAAATAATTCATAATAAACATTTAGTCAAGAAATAAATGATCTAATTTTTGTTTTCCAGAAATTCTACGAGTGTGACGGCTGCTCAAAAATCAATACATGGTGTGATGCAGACGATATTATCTCTAAATATTTTACTTTATAAGAACGTTAAGCCGTTACTAATCCTCTATTTTGAAAAGGGAATGCCAGTCTTTGACAGTAGTGTGCAAACTTTGAACATGGTATTTCAGAAATTCTTTACCAAGTGTTGCCATAACATAGAAAGAATCAAATGTTTTACATGGCTTGTAAATGGTCGAATAACAAATATCGACGTATTTAGGGTTAAGGATCTATTTTTAACGTTATTGTCAAATGAAAATGTTGGTCATTACCATCAATCCGAAAATTCAGAACATAATGACTTTTATAATATTTTATATAAATCCATTGACAAAAGCATTTTATACAGTGACTTTGCACTTGATGTTGCGAAAGTTAAACCTAAGGACAAAAGTATTTTAGAAACGTTTGAAATCAATGATGAGGTAAATGAAAACCTTAGTAAGTATTTGCAAGGAAAACTGTCTGAGTACAGCTTGGGATTGCAAAAAAAGGATGCCGAGATCCTAGAATGCGTTCGAATATTAAACGTATGTATAGTTTACTTTGATATTTTATTGAAATACAGGATTGTTAATCAAGAGGAAATCAAATCCACAAAATTATTTAGCACGTTTGAATTTGTTTTAAAAACAGTGTACACAATGTCGGTAAAAACATTAAAAAATAATATTCTTATTCGAGACAAGAACATATTGCTCCAAAATCTACAGTCTATGTTTGCGGGTGAATACGATTCGTTGCTAAACACTGAACTAAGACTGAATGTCAATGAAGATTTTTTTCACTGCCTGAATGGAATTATTAATAGCGATATTCCCACTGATGATGATGATGACAGCGATATGGATATGAGTTTCAACGCATTGAAACATAACTGCGTTTATTTCTTAGCTGTATATTCTAAAAAGCAAAGTAATTTTAGAGATGAACTTCTTGAACTGATTCTAAATCCAAAATTATATAATTTCTGCTGCCAGTGGGACATAGAATCTGCGTTTAAATGCATTAAATTATTAATTCAATCTGATGTTGAAGATCCTCCCATAGGTACAATTTATTACAATTTTTAATAATATATAATTTAAGCCATAGCTGTTATATTAATGCAATTCATGCTTCATTTTACAGAATTAATTTTCGGTATTATGCAGTCAATGTGCAAGGATTTATTTAGAAATTCCAAAGCAACTTTAGGCATTATACAAATTCTATTACAGATAATTGATAAAGTTTGGTTGCATAACGATAATATGCGCCATAATTGTTTGATTATGGTCAAAAGTTACCTGCATAGGTGCGAAAACTTGTTCTACCCTCCTGAAGTTGCTGCGCTTATATATGAATGTGCAGCGAAAATAATATTATTAAATAATAAAGAAAAATTAATAGATATCAAATTCAAAGATATTTTGATAGAAAAGATAAAGGGAAACATCTACAGTATACGACTTTATTGCAGCTATTTAATAACAGAAATATCGGAAGCGTTTTCTGATGAAGAAATTGAATCTTATTTAACAAATTTGAAAGATATTTTTACTGTAGTTGTAAGTTATATCTTATTACTTTTACATATTATAATTATTTTCTGATATTAGACTGTAATGTTTATGTTTGGAAGTTTTGGGTTATAGCTAGAGCCAATGGTAGAACCTTTACTCCACACAGATGTTCTTCTGGTTGAATAGACAATTAATTACGAAAAAATTAATTACGCCCATTTCCTTTATTGTTTCCTACTGTCGCTTCTTACGACACGTGACAATATTTGGTAGGGTATTCTTACACCGCCGCTACATTTCTATTGAAAATTATTACATAAACACATTCATATCACGATACCTAAAATCACCGCACGGATCGGATAGGATTTTTTACATATTGTACACATAATAGATCGATTCATAACTGTAACATGGTAGCTGCTCTATTTCTTCAATGTCCTTTAAACGAACAATTCGTCGCTGACGTCGCGAAGGGGCGAACTTCAATTTTTTTTAAATTACAGGAGAGCAAAAAAACATTTATTTTTCCCCAATTACTAGATTTTTCATCAGAAAATAAAAATATTAGTTTTAATGGAAAACTACAAATAAAAAAAAACGCAGATGAATTTTTCTGACTTAAATTCAAGTAAAAAATAATCTTATAATTTTTAGGTGCCTGATGATAAGGAAATAATATTGAAGGATGAATTAAAAAATCGAACGGCGACATTGCTTCATAGTTATTCTGGTTTAGCTCTCTATAAACATTCTTGGGCATGTCATGTAGTCAAAGAAATTGTATGTCTTCTACAACTAAAAACATTAGATAAACATTTAGTAAATAAAGTGTTAAATATTATCACAACAAAAATTACCCAAAAGGGGATTGATGTGTATCTCGATCAACACATCCTGCTTATATTACAATGTTGGCTGGAGAAGAAGTATTTATTGGAAGATTTGCCCACATATTTATTTGGATGTGAGAATTTTAATTTGTTCTTAACAAAGTACATGAAGTGGTTAGTTTCAGTCGATATATTATGGCGTCATCTTGGTAACGTACAGAATAGTACTATGCTAACGAAGCTCAGAGAAAACCATACAGAGGAATTCATTTTAGAGGTAAAAATTCTCAGAATTATAAAAATTTATTACCTAGTCATTTAAATCCGATTCATTTTACATATTGTTCTTGTTGTTCTAGAAAAGCTTTTGCAATATAATAATACTTAGTTTGCCATACATTGTCAATGAAAAGTATAATTTAAATAGCAATAGAGAACTCAACTGCAAAGCATCGTTAGACGCGGCGTATAGAATGTTTCAACAGACGCGACAAATACTTAAAAATGAAAAGTGGAGCAACTTGTTTGTGGAAAATATGGGCCAGCTTGTGTTACTGACTGCACTTCACCTAAGAGACTATATGGACGCTCAAAACGTTTTTGCTGTAAAAGTTCCACGAAACATTGAAGCTTACGGTTACTCAAAAGATATTTTTTGTGCGATTTTGAAATATTTTGGGGTAAGATTTTCATACTTATACTTACATAGACCATCACCCCTGTTACCCAGATGGGGTAGGCATAGACTATGTACTTCTATTTAGCGCCTGACACACTATCTCTCACATATGTCAACGTATATGATTTAAGGTGATACCTCGAAAATTTAGTGGTTTTTCTATTTAACATATTTTTTTTAAGTTTTATAGATTACAAACCAAAATTTTGGTATATGATTTTTACTATATGACCTTGCATTGCATAAAAGGAAAACACGATATCATGTAATTTTCTCGATAGAAAAAAATTGCAAAGTAGGCTCTGATTAGTTACATTTCTGCATGACACCACAATATTCTTACGAATAAGTTCATGGAATTATTTTTAAGGCATAGTAAATAATCATATATAAGTTCTCATAAACCAGTTTTTTAATACATAACGAAGTTTTGTTAAAATAAATAAAAATGTTGGCGCTTACTTAGTTTTTTTCCGAGCGCTTGCTCGGTATGGCTATCTCATAATTTGCGTACTATGAAGTCATTGCATCACTTTCATTTTGACACTCCCTCAGTCGTCCGTTAGCTTCACCGAGACAAAGGAATAAGCCACGCCCTCAAAACTTCGATTTATTTTCAAGGTATCCTCTTAACGGTTAAGGGTACCCTTAATTTGGACCATCTTCAATATGTCGCCAAATTTGCTCGATAGACTTCTGTTTCGGTCATCCCTTTCCGACTCTTGAGTGGCAGAGTCGGCAAGGGACGCAGTTGGACAAATATGAATATAATTCCTTCACATAAATATAACTGATAATATTAACAGTAACTTTTTATTTTAGGAGCTCATTGACGCAAATATCATGGAATATCTGTGTGAAAATCAACCCCTGGCTATACTCAAGGTTCTTTTTATGTTATGGGACAATGTACTTTCTGAAAATGTTTTTGGATTTAAAGTCATATCTATGCATACTTTTATAACTTTCGTCGAAAATGTTCCTTTAGATTTTCCATTAGACGCAATTTTATGTAACTTTGTATGTTTAAGTATTTCAAGAGTTATAAAGAAAACGTGTAGTGAAGAAGAATTAAGTGTATATTCTAAAGCCCTTTTAGTTGTTATGATGCGATTTAATACTCATAAAGTGAAAGCTTTACACAAGACGACCTTGTCTGAAATTATGTCAATATTGTTAATTAAAAAAGGTGATAATCCTGAATGTGAGAAGGTTTTTAAATTTATTGTTAAAAATTTTAAAGATTTCGACAAGGATATTGAAAACTTGTATGCTGATATGGTAGAAGTAGATATTGAAACATGTTTCACAGAAATTAAGTTTTTAGAAACTCTGCAAAAATATGAATATATCTTAGCATATGCGAGGTAAGTAGTTAATGAGAAAATTAATACTTCCTATTTTATTATATAATTTAATGTTATGTTTATATATATAATGTTTTTGATTTAAGTTTAACAACACTTTCAAAAATAAGAAAATTTCTTAAGGTCCATAAGAAGTACATAACCAACGCTTATAATAAAATGACTAAAAAAGGTTTCTCTGAAGATTGCAAAAACAGTATTATACATAAGACTATACTAGCCATAAGCAATATCTTGAAGAATTTAACTGATGACAAGGTAAATTTTACACAAAAGATGGAAAAACATGGAAATACTAACATGAATTCTCTAAGTTCTAAATAAAAAAATGTTTTTGTTGAATACATTATCCACATATTTACACGTGGTATAGCTACGCTGCAGCTATACCATGGTTGCATCGCGAATGGGTCGGCTCGAACGGGGTAGGACCACGCTCTCACAGCATACCAGCGTAAAATAGCAACTTAATGCTGCTATGTTTCGTATGGTGAGTGTAAAAAATTGGAGACCCTTCTTACTGGAAACGAGGCATTCCAATTCAGTCCTCAGGGCTATAATCTACAGGCCACAGCATCCACTTACCATCAGGTGATCTGTGTGCTCGTTTGTCACCCTTATTCTATAAAAAAATCTATTCTAACCCTTTATCACATAATCCGCTTTAGCTTTTCATCGTGAATGTTATTATTCTCGATAATCAGAATATTTAATATAGCATAAAAGTACCTCTTACATTTGATTTTCTTCGTAAAAATTCGCATGACAGCATGCACGCTGACGTCCATATCAGCAAAAATAATTGTGGGTCATAAAATATTCTTTTCGTACGGGATTGGAATCCGCGGCCTCGCTGCGCTTCAGCTAAATGCTTAGCCAATGCGTTATCGAGTTCTAAATTTGATCTGAATTTAAGCGTTGTTAATTCCTACTATTATTAAATGTGACACTTTAAAAAGTAAATTTTATGTTGATTCTGTTGCCTCGACGTCACGGTTGCCACGCTTGACATGCGTGTTAACCACCGCAGTTTTTCATTATCTTCTAGTTTTTATTAGGAGGACACTGCTGAACTGGGAAACAAACCGGGAAATGAGTCCTGGTTTGTTAATTGATAGAATCAGGCGTTACTTTGCGGAAATCCATTATAATAAAAATATTAATTACTGCGCAACCTTCCGCTAGCCAAATACAATGACGTGTCTTACCTGGATTAAAGAGCACCTCCCGCCCTCCCTCAATTGCATGCACTAACTCCATCACCACTAGTCCCAGCACCACTACTCCCAACACCACTATTCCATGTAAGACGCACCATCGACGATAATACGACACATCTCTACATCACCTGAGGATGTCTCGTGTAGAGGCGAAACAGGTGTCGTATTATCGTCGATGGTGTGTCTTACCTGGAATAGTGGTGTTGGGAGTAGTGGTGCCGGGACTAGTGGTGACGGAGTTAGTGCATGCAATTGAGGGAGGGCGGGAGGTGCTCTTCAATCCAGGTAAGACACATCATTGTATTTGGATAGCGGATGGTTGCGCAGTAATTTATATTTTTATCCTGGTTTATTTCCCTATATCGCTTTTTACGACACTCATGGAATGATATGGGGTAGTGGATATTCTTATATCGGTTGCATAATATCCTAAGTATAATTAATAAAAAGTAGCAAGCTTCATTTAGTTTTGAAATTTATATTTTTATCTTTAGATGAAGGTTGAGGCGAGTAATTGTCTGGCTGAAGTTGTAACGTACGACTTAAAGACATTGGTCACTGTGCCGCCGAATGACACAAAAATAATAATTAATATTAAACCTACGCAATATTTTGCAATTACTGTGGTAAAATCACTTTTTGAAATCATTTTTGATGAAGACCCGACTGTAAGTGATAAAGCCACGAAAGCTTTATATCTTCTGTTGAAGTTTAAGGATGGTTCATTAATTGAAATAGGTAATGTACAAAAATAATTTTTTAATTTTTTATTAAATTAAGTCGTTTGTATTTATATTTTAGATTAGGTATTATCTAATATGTAATTATTTACAGTGATATAAAACTACTTGTGTGAACAGGTAGCTTAGGAACTTACGTGGTAGACTACGTTCGACAAGGTCACCTGCATCTAATGACGTCCTGCATAGTTTATTAGGACGTCACTCCAAATAGTCAAAGGTCATTTTACAATTATTGGCATTATAATGACAGCCTATCATGAGTACACATTGGTTGTGAGCTAATTGCATCCATCTTGCATTCAGATATGCATGCGTTTGTTTGTATAAGAATAAAACTTTTGGAACATACGACCCAGGCTACCTTAATTTAGATAGTTTGAGTGATTGTAAGTCCATATGCTCTAAGTTCCTCCTAAGCAATAAATATCCCAACCATACTGTTAACAAGTGGTGGTGTGAGAGTTAACACGTACAGTACAGTGCGAAATTAAAACATTATCTAATGAAATCGTGGATATATCATTCAAATGTAAGAAAATTTAGCCATGCGGATTGAGAATTATACTCCACTGAATCTAAGGAATACTTTTTGCCAGCTTGTCACATTTAATGGATTAAGCATTCTAAATACAAAATCGGTACTATTAGTAGGATATTGATTCTTTACAGTTAGCAATCATTTACAGTTTTATCTAGATTAATACCAGAATAAATTAGAAACAGATAATTCAAAACAAAAATTTCATATTTATTGCTTAATGCTAATTTCTAGAGATCAAGTTAAATAAAATAAACCAAAGACTACACTAGATTAAAGACAAATTTATTTATTTATTTAATCGTTTTCACTAAGACTAGTTGCGTTGTCGTCATCATCATCATCGTTGTTTACATTATTATTCAAAATAAATTCAATTAATATACAAATAAAATCAATTTTCTTTATTTTTGGAGAAAGCTCCATCACTTTCGGCTCAGTGGTCACTTTGCGGATTCCACATAAGCAAATATTATTAAAAAAAGACTTGTTTATTATACATGATTAATATAATTTATGCAACTCTAAAATTAAAAATTTAAATTGACAAAACAATAGATCAAAAAATGTGAATGGGCGATTATTTGAATATTTTTACCGATTATTCGCATTAGCATGAATTTTATTCTTCCAAACACTACGGTAGGGTGTACAACGAAATATAGGTCTCTGGTAAAAAAATTATTTTACTTTGTTTGATAGATTTAAGTTTAAGTTAGTGATAAAGAACCATATAATAGGGAAATATAGATAACTTCATCATTCTTAGTATTTTCGTAAAAGATTATTTTAAATCATGTGAGTACGCTTTTACAAAGTTATAGCGGAATGATTAATGAGAAACGTCAAAAGGTATTTCTTATGGACGCCACTTACGGTCAGTTCAACTGATTTAGTGGATTTTCGATATATCGATCATTATAAATATATTAATATCTGAGTTTTACATATAAGTTTATTTATGGATGTATTGAAAATCCGATATTTTAAAAAATATCAACAGTTTTAATTTGAACTGATCAGTTGGAATGATCATTTTTACTGACTGTGTGTGGCCACTATTAGATTTGGCAGAGTATAAGGCTCTTGATTTTAACAGTGCGCATTTATTTTTATTCAATGATCGACTTCTATCTTACGACGAAGTTTATCAACGCGCAAGCAGCTGTGGGTAATTTATAGGCTTTTCGCAGTTTGCTATGTCCGCGTTAATTTAAGAGCCGACGAACCAATTTAAAGGCAGAGTCCAAAAATTTTAACATATTTTTGTTTTTATATTTGTTGATAGATTTTCGAATTATTACACTCAGAGGCGCATGAAATCCAATATTGTGACGAAACTTTTTGAAACAAAAATTCATAAAACGTTACGCTAAATCTGATTTAATAGGTGCAGAATATAATAGATGGAAAATTATTATTTTGCTTTGGTGTATCAGCTACCTGCGGTAGGAGAGAGGGAAAAGTTTGAAGTCTCAGTTAAACAAATGTTATTTGTATATTTTTAATTAATTATAAGAACAAAATAGTACGAGCCCCCCCATTTTGTCCCATGGGTGCAAGAAAAGACAGCTATTGTAAATGCAAGGAAAATCGAAACGATTTCGATAAACGCTTGTTTAAATTTTTCCGGTTATTACAGCCCATTAAAAGTCCATTGCTAAATATAAGCGAACATTGCCCCCATGGCAAATATCCTCCATGTTAGTCATAGTTGCCACGCAATAGGTTATTGTGAAACTCACCAAGTCGCTCGTTAAGTCGGTGCGCTTTACCATCGTCGGTTAAATCACAAACATCAGGTGCATGCATTGTAATTGAACACTGGCTTATAATACATAGTTACAAATATTCATTTTTTACTTTATAGCAGACTCAGCATTTGATCAGCAAATTATAAAGTGCCTCACTCCACCAATGTGTGAATCTTTTGCCGAATTTACGGTTTGTAATGCATCTATGCAGTGGATGCCTATCAATAACGAAGATCATTTCCAATGGATTAAAAGAATTACTGCATCTCTCGTGGATACGCTAGCGTCACCATCTAATTATCTAACATCACTATGCACATTATGTCACACAAAGGTAAAAAATTAAATACTTATATTATACACTAGCTTGCCAGGCAGACGTTGTTCTGCCCTTTTCGACGACAATTTGTCATGTCCTATTAAAAATCCTTAAATTCGCAAAAAAATACATTGTGAGCAAAAAAACTATCCTATCTCTCAAGTTGGACCAAAGTGCACACGGTGTGCAAATTTGATTAAAATCGGTTAAGTAGTGGAATCAAACGGAAAAATGAACGTAATTTTTATATATATTATATATATACTAGCTTGCCAAGCAGACGTTGTTCTGCCCTTTCCGACGTCCCTTTGTCACGTCTTATTAAAAATCCGTAAATTAGCAAATTGTGGGTAGGCATGGACAAAAGAACTATCCTATCTCTTAAGTTGGACCAAACTGCACACGTTGTGCAAACTTGATTTAAATCGTTTAAGTAGTTTAGGAGTCTATCGCGGACAAACAACGTGACACGTAATTTATATATATTACGATATTAAGATTATAGTAAATATTTTGTACGTGGTAAAGCCACGCTACAACTATATTAGTAGTATAGTTGTAGCACGAATGGGTCGGCTCGACCGGGGAAGCACCACGCTCTCACAGAATACCAACATAAAATAGCAGCTTAACGTTGCTGTGTTTCGTATGGTGAGTGTAGAGAACCGGATACCCGATTTTTACTGGAAAAAAGGCATTCCATCTTAGTCCTCAGGGGTGGCAACGAATCTGCGTTTTGATTCGTGATCGAAGATTGATTGAAAGATTGATGTAGATGTCTATGGATCGCGGCAACCACTTACTATCAAGTGCACTGTGTGCTCGTTTGTCGCCCTTATCGTACAAAAAATAAATAATATAAGTATATTAAATGTTATTATTTTAATCTTAATTAAAACTTTCAGCCCAGTATATGTGAAAGAATTTTACCGTCGTTGGTGGGATTGCTACTTGAGCATTCATCGGAAGAACAAATTCAAATTGTTGGCCAACAGATAAATCAAGTATTCAGTTACATTTGGGGAAGAAGTTTTAACGATAGTGCTATGAACAGCGAGGATAGTACTATTTCTAAAATATCCAACATTTTGGATCATGATCATAAAATGATTGTGCATTATCTGCTGGATATAGTGAACACGATAAGATTGCAGAGAAATCATTTGAAAATACGGCAAGTATCTTGTTCGTAACTTCAAGTTATTGCTACATTAATGGTTATTATTATGAAAAAGAAATTGCAAAAATAAAAAATATGGTTTTGCCTCTACGATATGAAATTTATTTTCGTTCTGTACTCTAAATCAGAACATTTATGGAATTACTTTGGTTGTTTTCATTATTCGTTTTTTTCAAAAATATTTAATTAATATTAATATTTTTTTAACATTTATATGAAACATTACCTTAAAATTTCTGTTTCTTCGTATAATCAAACGTATCGGTAACGATAAGATAACGAGTCTGAAAATCTGAAAATATGGAATATAGACAGTTTATTACTAATTTATACCATATTAAAGCCGTATGAACTTTTTTGAAAACTGGAAAAATTATATCAATACACTACAAATTAGCCGTGGTAGCTCAGATGGTTAACGCTCGCTGTAAACATAACAGAACGCGAGTAACCCGGGTTCGATCCCCGCCGGCACCAATGAAATTGTTAATTGCAATTTTAAATACTGATTTATCACGTGCTCGGCGGTGAAGGAAAACTTCGTGAGGAAACCTGCATGTCTGAGGAATAAGGAAAAAAATATTTCGAAGACATGTGAAGTTCGCCAACGCGCATTGGAGCAGCGCGGCGGACACTTTCTTGCCCTAAAACCCTCTCAGAAATGAGGGGAGGCCTGTGCCCAGCAGTGGGACGTATATAGGCTGTAACTTTACTTTTTAACTCTACTACAAATTTTGTTCACTGGCGTTATTTTTTGATGTAAATTAAGTATAATAAAATATTTTGACGTTACTTTTCTTTTTGAAACTCATAAATATTGCATATGCTAATTTTTTTTTAATTTCAAATTTGTTTAGAAAGTTTCGTCATGCAGATGCATTAAGAAATATGAGGTTGGAATATGATAAATTGGCATGGGCAGCAACTCTCGTGGATCAAAACATAGCCGCTATTTATTATGGTGAACTTTGGGCAGTATCACAAAACGACGATGTGCCTCCTTCATCTCCTGAAGCTACCGCTCACCTGGATGGCGGCGAAAACGTGCAAAAAATTCTTCGAAAAGTGGGTGTATTTTCTTTCATTATTTAGCTTTAAAATTATATTTCCTTTAAAAAATAACGATATATTTTTAACACTTTTATTTCTTATTTCTTCACATACCATGTACACCCTATTTAACCAAATGTAAGTCTTTGAGTTTTAATTATGACAATGTACTTTCTTACATTATTTATTTTCATTCTTGTCATCCTACAATCTAACTATTACATCTAACCTTCTTTTTCTTTCTTCTAAAAAATGTAACGAAATAATCATTACACGGAACTTTACCTTGAGCTGAGAAGTCCTTTTTTTGAAACAGTTCAGTGATTTTACGCGACTGATAACTTGTCCGGCAACAGAAAAGACCCGATCCCAGAATCCAAACAAACACTTAATTACACATAATTATGAAACAAGCAAAAAGTAGGTACGCTTTAAATCGAAAAAAATCTCAAGACATTTATTGAACTCGGACAAGACATTTATTGAACTTTCGTCATGCGAAAGCAAGGGAGTGAAATAAGTTGCCAGCATCTGTCTTGCTATCCGATTACAGTGTGGGTGTCTTCAAGGCAAGAGTGAATAGGTTTTTGTAAAGTTAGTGCGCTTTACCATCTTAGGCTACATCACCACGTGCTGTGATAGTGATAGTAGCTTGATGCCACATCTAGCTAGGATCATTTTTTAATCTAAATCTATGTTTGCTTTTACGATTTCCCAATTTTTATCTTTTTTATATAGGATAGGGTGACAAACGAGCACACAGTCCACCTGACGTTAAGTGGTTGCTGCGGCCCATAGACATCTACATTTATCCTCGATTACAAATCAAAATGCAGATGCGTTGTCACCCGTGAGTACTAAGATGGAATGCCTCGTTTCCAGTAAAAAGGGTCTCCGGTTCTCTGCACTCACCATACGAAATACAAAAGCATTAAGCTACTATTTGACGCTGGTATTCTGTGAGAGCGTGGTCCTTCCCCGGTCGAGCCGAACCATTCGTGCTACAACTATACTACTAATATAACTGCAGCATGACTCTACCACGTGTAAATCTTCTTCTCTATACTCGTATATAAAAATAAATATCTGTCCGTTAGTCTCGCTAAAACTCGGAAATGGCTCGACGGATTTGATGATTTTTTTTGTGTTTGTTTGAGTCTCTGCATGGTTTAGATTCACAATTAGACCCGACAGGTGGCACTGTTGTCGAGATCCAGAAATCACTCATGCGAAGCCGGGGCGGAGTGCTAGTTTTATATAAATATTTAACATAGGTAGTATGTTAATTATTGTTATAAAGTTTTTATACCGGATATGTTCCAAAATAGAACCCATGTACTGTCCAATGCAAATGACGTCATGAATCGACGCTATACTGGTGATTCGTTCCAAAACATAGGACAGTATACGACATCATACATTTGCGCCATATTGGAAAAGTTTTGGCGATTATTTTGTCATTTTGTCCTCCAAAAATCATTATATCCTCCTAATGGAGATACCTGCAATTATTTTATAATTTTTTGTATTTGAATAAATAAAAACAAATTCTGACATGCTTCATTCAGCGTGCACACAATTGGGTGCGTTTGGCAGAAAAAAGCGCTAGCAAGCGCTTGTAAGCAAAATGGCGATCGTAAGCGGTAAGCGCTGTCAAATCGTAAGTAGCTATTTTCCTCTAGGACACGATGTTAGTTTTAACCGGGGAACCTAACCTAATTTAAATATGTTTGTAAAGTATTCGTATTAAAAACTTACCAATCATGAATTTTAATAACATGTATATGTTTATTCATGTCATTATATTACTTAAAACTAACATTGCACAAAACAACTTTTAAACTCTACTTCAAAACAAACAAATTAAATAAGCAAAATGGCGGATTATGTCAGCGCTACTGAAGTAGCAATCGTGTCCTGGCCGAAAACTATTTTAGCGCTTGTAAGCGCTTGCTAGCGCTTTTTTCTGCCAAACGCCCCCAATTAAAAATTGTTTTATTATGGCCGGATATCCGACACAATATGGCGGCGGCACGCCAGTACAATATAGTGTCAATTGATGACGTCATTTGTATTCGGCAGTATACTGAAAACGTTTCGGAACATACCCATCAAACCCATCCAACTATGTGACGGCACTGTCGTCGCGTAATAAACTGAAACTTAAATCACGCTATCGAACTATTCCGGTATAAAATAATATATCCACACGGAATGCTGTCCGCTCCCCGGGCTGAACATGTTGTGCGGCGGGAGATCTCCATTATACATCCTCGCCAAATATATATTTCCTAGATGGTAGCACACCATTTGTGCCCTGTCTAGTAGGCCGCCTGGTTAGATACGACTCTTTACCTATTTCTGATGCTAAATGGTAGTGCTTGCACTGCTGCAATCCGGTCTGAAGGGTATATAGAGCCAATATAATTACAGGTGTAGAGACTCTGAGACCTTTTTTACTGGAAACAAAGTGTCGACGCCAGATAGTCGACAGTCGACCCTATTGCAGTAATATAAGGCGCTTAATATTATGCTTATTGTATAGAGTCGTGCATTACCGTACATTCAACCGATCACACTACATAAATACGAGTACTTACCACGTCATTCCCCACACCCGACGCTCATATTCGTTCTCACATTCCCATTCTACCCTCCGAACAAACAAGACACAAGTATAATACCAAGAAATAATATAATTAATAAAATTGTAAATTCAGTCGAATAAATCTTTGAGAAGATCTAAGATTTCTTTCTTTTGTTCATTCAAGGCATTCCATCTTAGTTCTCAAGGGTGACAACGCATCTGCATTTTGATTCGTAATCGAGAATAGATGTAAATTTCTATGGGTCACAGCAACCACTTAACGCCACGTATACTGTGTGCTCTTTATCCTATAAAAAAAGAAAAGCATATAAGGCATTCCATTTTAATCCTCAAAGTATGTATCTAAAGCCTTCATCTTTGAAGTTAGCTTCAGGTGTCCATGGGCATAAGTATAAGTTCGTTAAGTACAGACATAAACTAAACTAAAAATCCTTTTTCCGTTTGTATGATTGCAGTGCTTCGTATCAATAGGTGAAATAGATGCTGTAGATGGTTGTGGCACCGCACACTTGACTAGTGAGGAAGAGAAACGTAAGCATTTACTGCACACGGGTCAGTATGCTGATGCTCTCCTACTTCATGATATCGCTCTCTCGTGTGGGAATCAAGTAGACAACCGCCTCCAATACGGTGTCGTTATATCCCTACATAAGTCTGGCATGCATCACTTAGCCTTACAATACATTAAATCATTTCCTGAAAATAATGACCTTAACGATGTGAAGTTCGACTGCTTGTCGTATCTAGGTATGTCCAGTTTACTTTACTCTTTTATTTATTTTAATACAACTAGTTTTTTAGTATTTCTTCAAGGTAAACTGTTGGCATTTGAATCATCATTAGCCGTCACTGAACATAACTTACTCCTATAATGGTAGACGATTTCGAGATTATAAATTAATCTCATAGCATTGTAGATGCTGCTCCTAGTTTGCGACTTGGATTGTTATTTTTAACGTTTCCTAATATTGAACGGCTCTTTTTTTGCTGTCGCTACTTTGAGAACATTGTGACACTGCAAAATAAGACTTATTCACCAGGTTTTTATAATTTATTTTCTGCCTAGAAGTCCGTTTAAACAGGTACTGCCTTCTTATCTATTCATGTCGCCAAACAGCAGTGCAAGCACTGCTGTGTTCCGGTTTGAAGTGTTTTCATTTCACTAGTCATTGGGAGTGACAACGCGTTTGTAGTGTTTTTTATTTAAAGCTACTCGCAGGTTTCTACGGGTATTAGGTGGACGTTAAGTTCGCTTGCAATTTCAATAGTATAAAAATATATCTAAAAAGTAATATAAAGTTTTTTTAACTGGCTAACTAGTGTACGACTTCAAATTATCTACTGTTACGTTACTTTTAAAGGTGATTGGAGCGAGATTGTCGACATCAAGGAATTAGAAGAAAAAACAAAGCAGCCAGATTGGAACCCGGACACAATTATCAAATCATACCGATATGCTTGCTTGAAAGAATGTCTGAACGCGCAACCCAATAGTGATTTCGAAGCCAGACTCGGCCAGTCGTTGAATGGGGCTAAACTGGCTTCGTCGAATTTATGCCAAGTTTTAAATATGGAAAACTGTCAGAACGTTTACAAAGTTGTCGCCAACTTGCACCTGTTGCGTGATATTGAAGACTATAGCTCCGTCAGATGCGGGCAGTCATCCATACACGAACTGTTAAACGAGTGGAAAGTAGAAAAATTGCCATCATTTAAAGATTTTCGACATCTTGAGACGTTGTTGTCGCAGCGCAGCTTAATACTGGAATATGCTGCTAAGCATTATGAAAGTTTTTTACCGGATATTATCGATTTGAAGTTGCAGTATGTTGGTAAGGAAATTGAACTGTGTGTGATTATTGATAGAATCAGGCGTTACTTTGCGGAAATCCATTATAATAAAAAATAAAAATATAAATTTCTTTGCAACTTTCCGCTAAACATATAAAATGATGTGTCTTACCTGGATTGAAGCGCAAGTTGCAAAGAAATTTATATTTTTATTTTTTATTACTGTGTGTGATTGTTGTATTCCTTACATAAAATTTATTATGTTTACTTGAATACTACCCTGTAGTTAAAAATATTTGTTAATCATCTTAACTTTAGCTGTCGTAAAAAACTCACACACACTGTTGCACTGAGCACGATCTCTTATCTTTAGAACACAGGCGTGTTGTGCTTGACATGGCTTTTTGTATGATGTGATAAACAGTAATGTTGATTGTTCAAATCTTGTCTCATGAATCATCTTCATACCCCAAAATAAAACCATGTTACAGACTCCCTGGCACCATATAAATTACCGCTGAAACTCTGTTCTCTCGCGACTCGCTCGCATGTGTAATGAACAGTTTGGGCACATTGACGTCTTTGAGAAATCTAAAGTTATGTTTAAACATGAGATCACGAAAACTATTAAAGATAACATAAATGAATGTAGATTATAAATAAATAACCATAGAATAACTGACTTTTTATTACACTAGAGGATAGAAAATTGCATATTGAGCCTATAATGCAAAAATTATGGGATAAAGTGCTGTGGGTGGATGCGACCGAATTCGGTCACTTGGTATTTGACGGAATATCGCCGCGACCGAATTCGGTCGCTTGGTAGCTAAGAGGTTAATGTTAAATATTTCTTGTATACGCTGTTGGTTTTCGAAATAAATAAATAAACTTGTACAATGTAAAACGACTGACGAGCCAAGGTCAATACATTAAACCGGCGCAGTTTAATAAGAGTCTAACAGTTGGAAACGAATGTACTTGTGCAGAGCAACGCCGGGGGAATTGCGGGGCAGGGGCGGCGCGACGAAGTACCTAGTAGCTAGACAATACATGCGGTTGACGTGAACCTGTTTTAGTACTTATTTAACGAATTTTAAGTGCCATTTTGGAAAAATATAATATCTATAATAGTGATTTACTGTCCTAGTGACAAATAACGGCTATGCTTGTTTCCTTCATATTTTTTCTCGATAAAATTGTTTATCCGAATTCAAATACGTTAATAAGTTTAAAAATCGAAGACTGAAAACATCTATAAAAGAAAGTTTCACGAAAACATTTGGCAGTGCAACACTTGTTAAAAAAATAATCTTATTTATAAATGTCTTTCATAATGTTAATAAATGATAATGAGTATTGTAATATCCAAAATTATTATATTTCCAATTTCGTGACAACCGCTTGCTTATTTGTGACGTCAGCGTAAATAGTAAACACCAACGTGGGCGGCGGCATACATCGCCTGATATCAAAGGCTTTTTACAACTGTTAGCTCTTTAAACTGTGATACTGGTGTGAATAACGCAATACAAAACCTTTTAGTTTAAATTATTATTTTGGTTTGCTGTTCACAGATACGGGGCTGTCTAATCAAAGAGTACAAATGGCCCAACGCCTATTAGAAACCGTAAAAAAGTTGCAGACTACAGATAAAGTAGCTTTGGTAGAAAGTCAAATAGCATGGGCCAAGGGACACAAAGATATTGCTCTTTCACTTCTGCATGATATCGTGACCGATGACTCGCTTGACGTCAAGCTTGCTGCTGTGTCCCTCAGGTTTGATGTTAAGCTCAAATTAAATGTTTCTATTAAATTAAATTAATAATGTTTTATACATAACCCTACGTATCAGTAAGCTAAAGTGACAATGGGCTAGCCCTATAGCTCGAAACGGATGGGAAGAAAAGTTCACTAGTAGTGGCCTGGTACTGGTAACAGCTACATTTCGCTTTCCCCCTTTCGCAGCTCCTCACTGGATCCAGTGATGATCTGGTAGGAGATGCAGGTGGCTCAGGGCTATGCTTTGTGGTAGGGAGGCTTATGTTCAGCAGTAAACTTAAAGAGTTCTAATGGTGATGATAATGAAGCTAGTGTGTGATTTTGATGAAGTGATTTTCCACTCAAGACTACATAAACACTCACCATCGTGTGTGAATATAGTCAAACACTAGCTTGTGAGTACAAAAATAAGATTATTTGTTGATATATTGTAAAAGTTAATTTAAAGTTACAGCCTATATACATCCCACTGCTGGGCACAGGCCTCCTCTCATTTCTGAGAGGGTTTTCGGCATGGAAATGTCCGCCGCCGCTGCCCCAATACGTATTCTTCACATGTCTTCGTAATGTTTGTTTTCTTATTTTTCGTACATGCAGGTTTCCTCACGATATTTTCCGTCACCGCCGAGTACGTGGTAAATCAGCACTAAAAATTGCAATTGACAATTTCATTGGTACCGGAATTGGGCTGAACCTGAGTTGCTCGCGTACTGTGAGATTTACGGCGAGCGCTTAGCCCCTGAGCCATCATGGCTCGATATATTGTCATTATCAGCTATGCATTACTCGTCAAAAAGGACTGATTTGGGATTACAGGCGCCAGTTTTTTCCATAGAAATGAAATGTCCACAACGCATAACTTCGAGGAACAAATAACTTGTCCCTGTCCCTCGAATTTTACGTGGTAGAGCTATGCTGCATCGTAATTTGCATGCGTAATTTAGATGTTTTTGAGACAGCCTATTGATTGCATTTACATTTTTGGTATTTCCTCTAGACAAAAGCGATAACTCATAAAATGAATTGTGTGATTGGACCTTATACACCGCTACTGCACCATGAATTTATTATTATTATTTTAAATAATAAAAAACTGTTTAATATCTTAGACAATACGGATTGTGGATGGCAGAATGTAGACGTGAAAACGCGAGGGACATAATAAGTAAATATTTGGAGAAGAGTCTCGAAGTACTAAATAAAAAAGACCACACAGACACCAGATTTAAGGTATACCTGGACATTGCAAAATTTGCTGATGCGGAATACAAACAGGTTATTATATTTTACATTATATTGTATGCCGTAGTTAACATAAACATATTGCATTTTTAACTTCTCATTTGGAAGTCATTCTAATGCGTCTCCTTTTTCAAGATCCTTCCTTGGGAACCTTCTTGTATAGGCCGATTTAATTTTTTTGTTTTTGTAATTTGTAAATTTTGTTTTTAATAGTGGAAGAGCCACGCGGCAGCTTCTGTCGCACGGATGTGTCGGCTTGAACCGGGGTGGGTACCACGACCACACAAAGTACCTGCGTGAAGTAGAGGTTTACCTCTGCGTTTCGCTCGGTAAGTGCCCCCCCCCCCCTCACCTTAACATGGTAGCGGAATGAAACAAATTACCCCAGGACCCAGCACCCCTTGTGATAGAGAATCCCTCGCTGAGCATTAACGACCAAGCTATCTTACACTTCCTGAGCGTTGATGCTCAGGCTGCCCCGCGTAATCTTGGAGGGGGGCGGGGGGAATTCGCTTGCGACTTAAATTGCTCGGGGCAAGCGGAGCAATAAGACCAAAGGGAACCCTGTCACGCTACCCGTGAATTTTTGCAACGTCAGGGAACTTCATTCCAACCTTAACGCCGTCTACTACCATCTGGAGACGGCGAAGCCGGCCTTGCTCTTTTTAACCGAGACTCAGGTGTCCTCTTCGGCTAATACTTCATATCTCTCTTACCTGGGGTAAAAATTAGAACACTCCTTCGTGCCCCGGGCTGGGTGATACGTTAGAGAGGACATCTGTTTTCGACGTCTCGGCAGTCTTGAAGGTACGGACCTGTACATCCTATGGCTGCGCGTAGACAGCGACACCGACTTTAACACGTCTTTTCCGGTACTCCTACTTCCAAGGCGTAGTCCCAAATTCATGGAAAACAGCTTTGGTCCACCCGATCCCTAAAAAAGGCGAACGCTCAGACCCGTCTATTTACAGGCCTATCGCCATCACTCCCTTGTTCTGGAAAATAATGGAGTCCATTATAAACTGCCAGCTCATGAGGTACATTGAGGATCACCAACTGATTAGTGACCGCCAATACGGTTTCCGTCGCGGTCGCTCGGCTAGTGATCTAGGTTACCTAACTCATAAATGGGCGGAGGCAATAGAGTTAAATGCCTCCCGTTGGCCGTTAGTTTGGGCATAGCGAAGGCCTTCGATCGGGTTAGGCACAAAGCGCTCCTTTCAAAGCTTCCTTCCTATGGGGTATTTCCCGATAAATTGTGCAATCGGATGACCAGTTTCCTTGATGATCGGAGCATCGAGGTCGTAGTAGACGGTGCATGCTCTAATAACAAGCCCATTAATGCTGGTGTTCCACAAGGCTACGTGCTATCACCAACGCTGTTTCTTCTGCATATTAATGATACGTAGCAAACTGTTAACATTCATTGCTATGTATACGACAAGACTGGTAAGTGCCTTATACACCGGCCGTGCCAATATTTCTCGGGAAAACGAAGTTGAGTCTTTGGTGAACAAATCTCGCATTGGGGACGACTAAATCTAGTCCAGTTCAATCCCAAGAAGTCACAAGTTTGCGTGTTTACCGCTAAAAAGAACGCCTTTGTCGTATCTCCTCAGTTTTAAGGCACTTCCGTTGGTGCCTCAGCTAGCATCGGAATCCTCGGCGTCGATAAATCGAGTATTATGTAGTTTTGTGGTCACTTGAAAGGGAAGGCCAAATTGGCCTCTAAAAAGCTTGGCGTACTCAGCAGAGCGAGACAGTATTTCATGCTGGCACATCGCTTGCAACTTTACAAAGCGCAAGCTGGACCTCACATGGAATACTGTTCTCATCTTTGGGCTGGGGCACCCGAGTGCCAGCTCCTTCTACTTGACCGCGTCCAGCGCAGAGCTGTTCGAATCTGCGACGACCGAGTTCTTTCTGATCTGCTCGATTTGCATTTTCTATCGCATCTCTGAGAGTGCTCTGACGAATTGTTTAGAGATTAATTTTAGCCGCCAATTTTCACGAACGCACATCTCATCAAAATTCACGATACCATCCTCACCATCTGGGTACTTGGTGGTTCACCACTGTGCGTTTTACTAGGAGTTTTCTTCCTCGTAAAACTTCTCTGTGGAATTGTTTACCACCGACGATTTTTCCGGACCGATAAGAGTTGGGGACTTTCAAGAAAATAGCTTACTCCTTTCTAAAAGGCCGGCAACGCACCTGCAATTCAACTAGTGTTGCGGTTGTTTATGGGCGGCGGTAGTCACTTACCATCAGGTAAACCGCATGCTTGTTTGCCCCCTCTTCTATAAAAAAAAATTAAATTCACAACTGTGTCCAGATTGTTAAGATTGATATTTTTATCCTTTTTGGAAAGTTCGCTTAATTTAGTATGATTCTTTTCGAGTTAACTGTAAAAGACTGGCTAACAACACAAAGGTCACCGAATAACAATAATTAATAGTAAAGATTATATATATAATATAATATATAAACACTCACGCCTGTCACCCAGAGGGGTAGGCAGAGACTACGGACTTCCATTTGGCACGATCCTGACATACCTCTTTCGCCTCCTTTACATCCATATATCTACGCATACATGCTCGTCGGTTAAGGGTACTTCTAACGTGGCCTCTTTTCAAAATATCGCCAATTTGGTCGATAAACTATTTTCTAGGGCGTCCCTTCCCAACTCGGCCGTTCACATCTGCCATATAAATTTGCTTTGTCACTCTTTCCTCATTCATTCTTTCTACATGACCAAACCACCGAAGCATTCCTTTCTTAATCCTGGTCACAACATCATCTTGCATACCATATTTATCTCTTATCATGCAATTTCTCACCCTGTCATTCAGATTCAACCCTAGCATACTCCTTAAAGACCGCATTTCTACAGCATTTATTCTACTTTCGTGCTTCTTCTGCCACACCCAGCTTTCACTACCATACATTAAAGTAGGGACTAACACAGCATTATGAATTACCATACGTGCCTTTTTTGACACATTCTGGTTCTTCATAATAGAGTGTAGTGCCCCATTCACTCTATTCCCTAGTAAAGATTCTTTTAAATTTTCTGATTCGTGTACTCTTTTCTTAGGTAGTAGCATATATGAACTCTACAGTGTTCGAAAATAAAGTCAAATGCATAGAGAATATGAAAGGAACGGCAGCTTCTCTAAAAGTATCGCAACAATCCTTAACAAAGTCAGTATAAAAATTAGTCTTTATAGTAGAAATATACTTTTTTTAAATAATTTGTATTTTATATGTGATGTATGATAAATTTCAGGGATGAAAGGAGAGCTTTATTGACCAATGATCGGTTTAGAGAATTAGATGAAGCTGAAGTCGTGAATACAAGAGCTGAAAAAGAGACTTTTCTTAATTTAGCCATGAGGTATTATAAAATTATTAATATGTGCAAAATGTAATAAGTTATAAGTTCTATAAAGTCTTTTATGAACCTAATTTCCTTAACATAACACCTATTTTAAATTAAAACATTATTACAAAATACAATGACTTAATTTAATCTTATTACTATGATCATATCATATAAATGATAGTATTTGGTTGTAGATATTATCTCCTTTCATTGAAGCATTGCGAAAAGACAAGATTGTCGATATTCAGAGTAATATCCCTTTGGTTAGACAATCCTTCCTTTGAATTTGAAGATAAATCGGAAACTAATTTGCAAGATCTACTAAATACAATACCTTCTTGGAAATTCATAACAGTTCTTCCACAATTGGCGCCACGGCTCACCACAGATGAGACAGATTTTGCGGAATATCTCAGGAAAATTTTGGGTAATATTTTTTTATGTTTGCCTTGTGCTCTGATACTGGATAATCTGTATTCCCTATCGTTCCATGAGTGTCGTCCGAGTGACTGTGGTAATCGTTAGAAAAATTTCATGGCATTTGATGTGTCGTATATTCCATAACAAGAAAAGTAGCTAAACTGAGGACGGAGAGAAGCGTTAAAGGTAACAGCGATGCAGTACAGGGGAAAAAGATAGGGGATGGTGATCACTCTTACGTAGCTTTAAAATTAGATATAACTCCGTATTCATACTATTTGCTAATAAGAATCTTATGTAAACATTGTTTTCTCAGAAAGATGTGCTGTAGAACATCCACACCACACGTTGCCAATTTTATTTAATCTAAAGAACTCTGACAAAGACAACTGTATACTGAATGCGAGTAAAGGCAAAGGGTCAAGTTCGGGACGTTCTTTAGTCAAGCCTGAGGCGCGCGTCGCGGCCGCAGACGCGCTCGTCCGCGAACTGGCACAGCGGGACGATTTAAATCGTATTATATCACAAATGGAACAGATTTGTGACGGTGAGACTTCATTTTGATTTACCTATATTTATTTGTAAGTAAATAATTTTAGGCTAAGTAATTAAGGTTACCTGTATTATATATAGATATCATAGATGCTCCCTTGAAATTAGTCCAGTATATTGATGAATGTTTATTTTCAGCAATTATAAGTTTCGCCTATTTCGTACCGAAGGTAAACAGTATGAAGCCGCAGCCAATACCTTCAGCCGAACCGATTTCTAAGTTACGCAATTTGGATTCTCTACCTATTCCTACTGTGACTGTTCCGATCAAGAAGGACGGGGTCTATTCAAATTTAGCAAGTAAGATTCTATTAAGTTGTAAGAGAAAGAATAAATTGCTTAGTTTGAATATTTATATGTCTTCTATTAGATTGTAAACAAGTGACTATTACTTATAATATATTATAGTAACAGCAACTTAATCGTCTTTTTAAACTTAAAAATTACAATAATAAGTCGTGTTGTTTCGGATTTGTTTACCAACACAGGCTGTACGCGCTTATTCAATATGCAGATCGGTCGAGCGACTGATCCAAGTTGTTGCTGTCACCGTGCGATTCTGTAATAATGTATGTGTGTGCGTGTGTGCGTGCGTGCGTGCGTGCGTGCGTTGTGTGTGTGTGTGTGTGGTGTGTGTGTGTGTGTGTGTGTGTGTGTGTGTGTGTGTGTGTGTGCTACGTGCGTGGTGTGTGCGTTTTATTTTGGTGTGCGCAGATTTGCCCCGCAAAAAATGACAGACAGTTTTCTATCGGGGAATTGCCCCATGGTTTTACAATTAATAAATAATCGTTTGATTTTTTTCAGCTTTAACAGCATTTGAAAATTATTTTGAGTTAGTAGGAGGTATCAATTATCCAAAAAAGGTAATATGCCGGAGTTCAGACGGCAAAGGCAGAATTCTTTTGATAAAGGTATTTTTCATGTGGTATGAGTTATGACTAACTGTAATAATACATGAGGTCTTTGTTTATGACTTTTAAGCAATTGTTTAACATGTTTTAGGGTGAAGACGATCTAAGACAGGATGCTGTTATGCAGCAGGTGTTTAACATAGTTAACACATTGTTGGAAAAAAATCCTATAACTAATAAAAACAAACTTTTAATACGCACGTATAAGGTAAATATCGAATAGCTTTATTAAAAGTTTATGAAACAAATAAGCGCAGTTCAAAGTTATGTCTCATATAATGAAAAACAGTATTCATGAATCTTATGAATTTCAGGTAGTTCCCATGTCTCGGCGTTCCGGTGTTTTAGAATGGTGTGAAGGCACAATACCCCTAGGTGCTTACTTACTCGACGCTCATACACGATATCGGCCGCAAGTAAGTGAACATCATTTAGTTAAATATATCTGGCTACACTGAAACATTCGCCTGACCAGCCAGCACCAGATACATTTTATATGAATGTAAAAAAATAATGCAAAATAAATGGGAGATGAAATAAATAATAAATTAAATATACGGCTACAAAATATTATATTATTTTGTTTGTTTATATTTATATATATCGTTTTTAGGATATTACGCCGGCTGCTGCTCGCACAAAACTAAAAGCGTGTCATGAGAGTAGAAAATTAAATAAAGAAAAAGTGAGGGTTTTCATGGAGATACTTGCGAACTTCAAGCCGGTTTTCCATAACTTCTTTACTGAGCATTACCATGATCCGATCACGTGGTACGAACGGCGATTAGCTTATACCAGAAGGTAGAATTTTTAATATTACATTTCATTATGATTCAATTTTTACTCCGTTTTTACAAGAGATTTTTATTTTGTTTAAACTTAAAAAATGCTTAAAGTGATTATACAACAAACTTCTTATAAATGTATTATAATAAAAAAAGATCTTCGTAACCTTTGGTATAAAATTATTCAGCTACACGTAAGTTATCTTATCAATATTATCCATTTCTTCCATTGTATCATTTTTGTGGGTTTTATGTCCTCAATGAAAACAAGTAGATTTGGGATTTAGCAGAATTAAATAAAAACCTACATATTATCTAAGTTAAAGTCAAGTAAACTTGGTTTTAATAGTTCGCATTACAACCACCAAGACAGTCTAGCATATTTTGTTGTATAAAATGTCTTGAAGTGACTTGGTGAATGTTACTTCTTTTCAGCGTTGCAACTTCCTCAATGGTTGGTCACATTTTGGGCTTAGGCGACAGACACGTTCAAAATATTTTAATAGACAAGAAAACTGCAGAGGTTGTACACATAGACTTTGGTAATATATTTTAATATTATTATCTTTTAATAATCTTAAAGATTGAAATAAATAATAACAAGCAACCCGAACAGTGAGGGCTGACGTTAACAAACGTTTAACGTTTTTATTTAGTGGTTAGTGTAGGCAATCCGCTGTCCGATCAGTTTGTTCTTTGAACGCTTAAATCTAATAGATAATGGGCTTGTACTATTTCAAACGCATATTTTATTTTCATAAGTATTTTTTAAATTTTTCCTCTACATGTTATATGTGTTTTCTTTCGGGATTTTTTATTATCATTCGCATTTATTTTTAGAATCTATTGTTGTAGGTTTTTTCCAGAATGCTCAAACACAGGTCGCTCAGCTGAAGTAGGCACTTTGAGTAAAAATTGCTATAAATATCGGCATACAATTTTTATCATCCTTTTTTCTTATACTATGATGGTGCTAGTAGTGTACTGATTTTGGGTTGTCCAAAATTAATGTGATAAACATTTTAGGTATTGCGTTTGATCAAGGAAAAGCTTTACCAACTCCGGAAACTATTCCGTTTCGTTTAACTCAGGATATTATTGCTGGATTCGGATGTTGCGGTGTGGAAGGAATATTCAGAAGGTATGCTAAATGTACTTCTGTTAGTATTTTTGTGTACTTGAACTCATAGATAATATGTTATTTAAATGAATCTTTGCGTTTATATCGAAAAACCAGATCAGCAACAATTATGATACAGAAAAATGTTTCTTGTTCCAAAATCCATTGAAAAAACATGAAAGTAAACAAACCTTCACATTTTAGTCAGATTTTAAGGTAAATTAAATAGTGTTACGGAATTGACTAATTTCATTTATTTCTCTGTATTATGCAGTATTTAGTTTAGTGGTAGAAGCAAGAATACTACCTCTCTGAGTGATAGGTGTGAGAATATTCTGTAAACCCTAAAAATTTATTCGCAGGTGCTGCGAAAAAACAATGCAACTGTTAAGGGATAATCAGGAAACCTTGCTAACTATTTTGGAGGTGTTGTTATATGATCCCTTGTATTCATGGACAGTTAATGGAACTCTGAGAAAATCAAATGTGCATTGTAAGTTTCTTTTACATTTTATTGTAGTATACACTAGAGACTAGTGTGGTGATTGTATAATAGAGTACTTCACCTCATCACATCTCGTGGATATCGTCAGAATTGGCTAAAGAAAATGCTTAAAAATGTTGTTTGTTGTTTGTGGTAGATATTTCTTGTGGGAAAGGTATATGACCGGTAGTGGACGATTTATACGGTTATGGGCTGATGAAACTAGGAGAGTACATTAGAAATGTTATGTACATGATTAACTTTTATCAAGTGATCTTGAAACTAAAAAATATGCGTTACTCTATGAATTATTATTTTTAATCTACCGTAAAATTGGCGCCATTTTCGTATGATCGGCAAATGTAAATTGACAGGAGAATAAAAATAAAATACATAAAGTAACTGACTATTGTTTAGACCACATGATAGATAGTTTCGTATAGATTCTATAATGCCAAACTTCGTTATAGAAAAGTAGTCTATAAATGATAAGTTTTAATGGTTTAAAGTGCTGTGGGTGGGTGCGGTCGTATGCGACCGCTCGGGATTTGACGGACGCATGCGACTGCGTGGGAATTTTAAGAGGATTAAGGGGCTAGTCGTACATATGTGTTTGGTAAGGAGTGGCGGCGCAGTTTGTATTGGTGTACAATAAAGAGTATATCCGGCAGCGGTGCGAGGCAGCGAGCTGACGGGGGCGGGGGCGGGGGCGGGGCGCGGGGTCGGGGCTGGCGGCGCGCGCGCTGCTTGCGGTGCGCAGCAAGCTGTGCGGCGCGGAGGGCGGCGCGGCGGGCGCCGTGTCGGTGGGCGGCCAGGTGGCGCGCCTGCTGCTCGCCGCCACTGACCCCGCCAACCTAGCGCGCCTCTTCCCCGGCTGGCAGCCCTACTTGTGACCGCAAACCACAACCCCACCCCCCACTTCCGGTGGTTACTCCACCTTATATTGCTCATAACTCTCATATCTTGTACTTGATCACATTTTGACTCATTCCCACTCGTATTATTTTCCAAAAAAGATCTTTTAAGAAATTAATGGAATCTCTTTAAAAACATATAGTGGCGAAACTCTCATTGGATAAGAAGTATTGTTTGTTTTTACCTTTTTAGTGACAAGTGCATTTAATTTATATTGTATGTTGAATAGTTTATCTTGCAAATGTTTTGACTTAATGTTTGGCTCAAGTAATGTCAGTCTCATTAATTTTTTTGTGTAAAAACACAACTAAATGATACAAAGCTATAATTATTAATATGCATTAATAATTAAAGTTTCGTATTCACAGTTTTGTTTTTCCGGCCAAAACAATATTGTTAATTGATAACGATTAAATAGTTGATATAAATATATTATATGTGCCATTGTTAATATTGTGACATTAATGAATAAATAATTGAAAATATAGAGATTTTTTTTATAAAACTGAAAAATAAACCAAAATTAGTGCCAATTGTAACTGGTACACATGATCAGCCGAAAATCGTTAATTTTGAAAATAAAATAAAGAACTATACAAATACAGCTATAATATAGCTTCTGAGATAGGAGCTAAGAGATAGTCTATCGAAAAATTAAAGCCTCTACTTTCGAAACTATTATGTGCAAATTATTTTATTCTTTTAGTTTTTAGTAAATTTTAATTTTCTTTACCCTATTGAGTGAACTGAGGAATATAAGTTCAAGATAACAGCTAAATTATCTTCTAAATAGTTACTTCCTTCCTTTAGAATCCTCTTCATTTTCGGAAGTCGCTTAAAAAGATAGTAAAATCAGGTGTTTGTAAGCGTTAATAACATAATTACGAAATTACGTATTTTAGATGTGTTAATTAATCTGCTACGATAAGCGTGGCAGAAGAATAAATTCGAAGAACCGACAACCGATGGGGAAGAAAGGTTCTCAAGTGGCAGCCACCTAACGGTAGGCAAAGTGTGGGGCGGCCCCCAACTAAATGGAGTGACGACCTGGTAAGACATGCAGGAAGTCGATGGATGCAGTTGGCTCAGGATCATGCTTCGTGGCATTCCTTGTAGGAGGCTTATGTTCAGCAGCGGACTTGTAGGCGCTGTAATGATGATGATCCGCGTAAAATATAAAATATATAGTTTATTTTACTATAGTTTGAAGAGTAGTCCCTTAACTACGTACTACTATTACGTACATATCGCTACCACTAATAAACGTATACTATGCAATGGTAACACAACATCGTCGATAATACGATACTCTTTTTGCCTCAAAACGAGGCATTACTGTGAGAAATAGACTCTAGACGGTAGCTAAGCAATAAGTATAAATCACAACGTGCTAATTGCTAAGTGAGCGATGGGTCAACCCAGTTGCCCATGCAACCACCGCTTTAGCGAATTTGTATACATCTGCTCCTCATTTAAATAGCGACAAATCTCGAAACGCTCACCTTCCAAATACGCAGTTAATCATTCGCCACAGTAAGTTCACTACCAATTTTTGTTATTTTTAGTATCTCCAATGATGTTAACTAATTAAAATGATACGTTTTACCTAGTTTTTTGTGGTAGAGCCATGCTGCAGTTATATTAGATGTATAGTTGTAGCACGAATGGGTCGGCTCGACCGGGGAAGGACCACGCTCTCACAGAATACCAGCGTGAAATAGTAGCTTAATGCTGCTGTATTTCGTATGGTGAGTGTAGAGAACCGGCGACCCATTTTACTGGAAACGAGGCATTCCATCTTAGTCCTCACGGGTGCCAACACATCTGCATTTTGATTCTTAATCGAGGATAGATGTAGATGTCTATGGGCCACAGCAACCACTTACCATCAGGTGGACTGTGTGCTCGATTGTCATCCTATCCTATAAAAAAAAAGTTTAAAAAGCAAGCACCTCCGTCTTTCCCTCATTACACTTGAAAAGACATCTTTTAACTAATTAATTTTAACATCGTTAATACAATGGATTTCCGCAAAGTAAGTCCTGATTCTTTTATCATAGATGGCGCTATTTTAGAAAAAAAAAACAAGCGAGCAAACTAATCTTTAGCGCACATCTTAGCTCCGCGATTCACTGTTATGTTATGTTATTTATAGTCTTTATTCTTTATCTTATTAAAAAGAATACATAGGGCGGATTTAATGCCTATAGGAATGTTCCGCCACTTAACCCATAAAGTGGTCAGGATTCGACGTAGGCGAAGCAATTAAAAAACATTAATAACAATATTATACATGCTTATATATATATATATATATATATAGCTAGTGTTGCAGTTGTTCATGGGCGGCGGTAGTCACTTACCATGCTAGTTTTACTTTCCTTTTTGTTGCCCAGGTAACTGTGTACATATTGTTTATGATAAAAATTGTTCCGTTAGTCCGTTACCATAGCAACTACGTCACAAACATTGAAGCCAATTTAGACATTGTATTATAAATTATTCTAATATCAACTCCAATCAACGTAGCGATTAGATAATATTCTCTTGCTTTGAATTAGCTTATAAGCTTTATTTACGTAAATAATGGTGTAAATCAGTGATATCGTCTCATGGCGGAATTGCATATACTTGGCCAAATATTGGGAGTGACAAATTTTGAGCATTCATCTTCGTTATTTTGTCGATTTTCTTTTCAGTCGGGTATATACTTGTTTTTACTTTTCATTTATTATTTTATGCATTAGTAGACTAAAACATTTCCTCGGGTATTATTAGGCAATCAACTTCTGTTTAATCCTTACCTAATATAGTGTATATTGTATTGCCGGTGTAATTATAAGGGACAGTATATATTGACTTTTTATTTCCTGTAAGTATTTTGGATTATTCACGTAAAATTAAAGAAATATCGATACTCGTGAATATGAAAGTTACAAAAACTCCGAAGTAAAATGGAATGAAATAAATATTTTGGTTTTATTCAAAGACATTTAAATAGGTAGTAATAGACCGGACATCAGTAACAAAATTGTCGTCTGTAACTTTTGTCCTATAGGATCACCGATTTTCGTCATTTAGTCTAAATGACATCGTCAAAAGGTCAAGACGCATTCATTTTATAAATTTAAAAATATTTTTAAAGAAAATATGCCTCGTTGTGGATTAAAGTATGGTAAGTCACGATATGGAGCAAAAAATGGACGTGATTTCGGTTTATTATCGTAAAAATGATTTGTATTTACCAAATAATCTTTAAATTTTATTATTTCTAGTAGATTGTTCAAGAAAAATGAAAAATTATTGTAATAAGTGCCCTCTATTATCCACTAACGTCACTATTTATTTACAAATATGTTAGTGATTAACGATGTGCCTACAACGGATTTTTACCTTATGTTTAGTAGCGTCACCTACTGGGAAATAGCTAAAATATTTTCTAAATAAATATTCTGTGTAGTATTGCTATATTTCGCTACAGGGTGTAATACATGCGCGTGGTCACAGCTTTTGTATGAAAATGTTCCCAATGTCCGCTCTATAGTATACTGCCGTCATAAGAAAAAAGGGCGCATCTGACAATTGTTGACAAAATGAGTTAAATATACTATTCGACTCAGGATAAAACGGCGCATCTACTCAATTTTTTTAATTTAAAATATCAATATTTTAGAAAATACCGCAAGAGCTTTGGACGTAACTGCTAATCAAAAATGATATTTTTTAAGTAGAAAAGACGTATTCAAATTCAACATAAAAGAAAAGACTTATTTAACCAGTTGCTCCGTCATCTTTAACATTATTTAAATGAAAAGACATAAGTTATTAGTTTTAAAATAAAAAGACGCTTTTGGTTTCTTACGTCCAATCATCTTAGTACTCACAGTGATTAACATAATAGGTTAGGCGCAAATGACGTCGCGTTTTTTAAAATAGCATCAATGATTAAATTACTTTGTAATTGAAAAGACGTAAATGACTATTACTTTGTAATTGAAAAGACGTAAATGACTGAAAGAGGAATGTGAATTATGTCAAAAATTCTTGATTCATAATCCTAGAACTGATCTTCGTCACCGAAATTGTGAGAAATGTAAAAATTATGAGATTCGCCACGAAAAGTACATTTTGGCTCGAGCCGAGTACCAGCGTAATGTTGACGTACAAAATAATATGAAAGGTGATTCTGATACTGCATATTTCGCCGTTGATTTACAGAAAGTTATAATGTTGCCGCGCATGGAGCAATTTAAAGCAGTGATGTTCTGTTCACGCTTAATTGTTTTCAATGAAAGTTTCGTACCAATCGGAGAAAAGAAAACAACCTAAAATTTTCAAATATTTTCGGCTCTTTGCATGAAGCTATATCTGGTCGAAAGAAAGATGACATAGTAAGTTGCTTTAGAGCATTTTTTTACAAAATCGTGACATGAAGCACTTAGTGCTTTGGCTAGATAATTGCGCTGCTCAGAATAAAAATTGGGCTCTATTTTCATATATGTTATACCTCATTAATTCAGCTGAAGTTTCATTTGAAACTGTTACATTCAAATATCTTCAAGTTGGTCACACATTTATGGCTGCCGATGAATTTCATCATAGAGTAGAAATGGCTATGAAAAATAAAAAAAGAATTTATGATTTCGAAGACTTTTATCAAGCTATTTTAAGCACTAACTATAAATCTATTACAGCAAAAAAAATGAATGTGGAGGATTTTTATAAATTTGAAGACGAGCAGTCTTCTGGGTACAAGCTACAAAACTCGAATCCACGGGCATATTTAAATGATACGTGCCAAATTACTTTTCGCAGAGGTTATCAATACGAGCTTTTTTATAAAACAAATTTCGATGGTGATGAATATTCACTGGATTTCCTAAGGGTAAAGAATATTAAAAATGGAATACCTGCTCCCAAACAAAATTTTACTTTCAGAGAACTTTTATTTTAATTAAACCCTGTTTAAAAGAAATTTAAGAACAATTTGAATTCACTCGTTGCACATTTAAAAATGTACGAAAAAGTGGCAGTTAAGTTTTATAAGTATAATTATGGTTTTGATGCTGTGAAAGCAAATTTTAGACTGATATAGCTTTTAATATATTTTAATCATGTAATTGTAATTGCTCAAAACTTATGATAATTTAGAAAAACACTGAAGGGAAACTATTGGTTTTGATTTATTGGTTGCAATAACAATAAAACTATGATATGAAAATAATTAATAAGTAAAGTTATTAAATTTTAGTGGTATTTATTTTGTTTAAATGTTTTGAAACTAATTTGTGTTTAAGTTTTTGGTTTTGTGATTATTAGTCATACCCTGATGTGACTATTCGTAAATATTTAGTTTTTTAATTTTCTTAATAAACAAAATTTTAATTGTTTTTTGTCTATTATTCTTATTTAGCACGTCTTGGAACAGGTATATTTTAAAGAGTGATTTTATGAGTGTTACATAATGTAACTACGTACCTACGTACGTTTAGATAATTCTAATACAATGCATTTAATATTAAAAAATAACCTCACTAATGTTACCACTCTCTTAAGTTTTTCCACCTTTTATCGTAGTAAGTCTGGTATGATACCCCTTTATCGCGGGTTGTTACTTTTTTGTGTCTAGTTTTGTTACATACTTACTAAGAACAAAAGTAGTAAATGACCATTTGCGTCCATTCAATTTCAAATTAACTTTCCGAGATATGTAAAAATGTTAATAGAATGGCAGTTTTTTTATTTACTAGGTTGGAAAGACGCAAATGGTTATATGCGTCTTTCCTTCGAAGTGTTTGCGTTACCGGGATTATTTTTTAAGCTAAAATGAAAAGGAAAATCCGTTTTATTTAAATAAATAAACAAATTATCAAAAAAAGTTCGTCTTTAAAATCTTCATGCCTCTAACTATCAATTTCAATTTTCATATTGATACATTTTAAAATATTTTAGACGCAGCAGGGTCTGAAAGAAAAAATCATCTATTTATTTTTTATCTCCATTTTACGTTTATGTTAGTTACGTCCTTCTCTATTATGACAGCAGTATATATATATTTGAATCTCTTCGGTTCTATCCTAATAAGTTCAAGTAATAGTTCCTGTGTATGTAGTTATTGTAGTTTTAGCTTGGGTAACGAATTAATTAACTTTTGTTGCTACACAAGGTCCGAACTGGACTCTCATTTCTGGATGCTCAGAAGGACAAACTATATCAGGCAAGCCAAACTATAATAGTTATACATTTTGGTCTCATCCCATCGACATCCAATACTTAACAAAAGGAATCCCAGGTAAGATTTTATTTTTAAATTTTGAATAAACACTGGTTGCTCTTCTACGGGTAACATATTATTTTGCATAATGATTTCTTATATTTACGCGAACACTACACATTGATTAAAACTACTTTTACGGATTTCATCGCGTTATACCTTTAATTAAAATAATTAAAAGTAAAATTAAACGCGATAAAATCCATAAAAGTAGTTTTAATCAATATTATTTTGCATTAAAGTAATATGTACTAGAACATTCACCACGAACAAAATCTGTGCGGCAGTGTGGGGCACGTGGTAGGAGGCATAAATTACATTTTTATGGCGCAGACTAAGTAAATTTGAGCCCAAGGGCACTAACGCCCTAACGCGTATTGCACCCAATAAGGCCCCAGCGTAACTTATATTACGTATAATATATTACTTTAATGTTCTTCTGTGCTGTTCTTATTAAAAAGTAAAAATACCGTTATAATAGTGTTACTAATAATTTAATGGTTGGATAATTTTAGGGTGGCCTAAGATTAGTTTCCAAGTCAGTTGTCTTGATTCTATAGGACGAACATGGATAGTAGGATATGGATGTTGTAGTTTACCTACAGTACCAGGAAATCATGCCATAAAAGTACCTTGTTGGGTGCCCCAAGCTACAACTGTTAGATATAAACTTCGTCAATATTTCCTTGGCGGGTCACATCAACTTACACAAAGTGACGTTATTAATCTTGGCGTGGATAGGTCTGTAAGACCAATTATATTAATAATAATATTTATTTTTATAATTATATTAATATATAATTTTACCATGCTTGTAAAAAATTGAAAGGCTAATTTCATTGTTTTAGGTTTAAGTTAACTACTCAATCAAAAGGAAGCATAGACTTGAATATTGATATTATTTTAAGGAATTTTAATAGATTTGGTGTAGAGTATAAATGAAAATATGAGACTTCTTACTTATTTTGCTTTCACATTACTCTCAGTTGTAATACAATTTTGTGTAATGGATTTTACACAAGAAAAAATTGAACATGATAAAAATCCAGCTTATTTCAATGAAACAAATAAAGTAGAACAAAATTCAATTGGAATATTAAAAGATTACACGCACAACACCCATGGTTTATATTATCGATTAAACGCCGGAGAAATAAAAAATGTATCAAGAACTAAATACAGTAACTCTTCTTTGGTTAATTATCCTTTCTCAACAACAACAGACCCTTCATTTACTGTTTATGATATATTATATGATGAGAACATTTCCGTAACAGACGGAGTTTCAACAACAGAAACATTCTTTACCAGCACTGAGTTAGATAATGTTACTGAAATCACTTTGTTTGAAAATACTTCTACGACTACTAAGCCTGAAATTATTAAAAAGAAAACAAGAAACATTGACATATGTTATTGTAATTTTATGGTAAGTACATTTTAATATTGTATAGGGATGTAAGGAAAATAACTAAACATAATTATAATGCCCTCCTGACCGAATTTCGGTCACGATGGCCAATCACAACGGAGGCTATCGTCTGTGCAGGACGGGATTATAGTGCAAGAGTGTGTGCGCAAGCACAGGTAAAATACCACGGCAATCCCACATGACCGGAAAGAGATCAGGCGCAAGGCCAACAGCTTTACGTGCTTTCAGAGGCACGGCGTTGAAAAACCTCACCCGACCCCGACGACCACTAGACTACTATATCTACATCTATTAATTAACTAAAAAGCAAAGAGAATACAAAACAATATTGCGTTAACGAACGATATTCCAGTGACTAGGCGGTATTAGTTACCTACTCGAAAATGTTAAACTTAAATCCTGCATACTGGTGATGGAAAGAAACATTATTAGTGCGATGGTATGGTATATATATGGTAGATGGTAGCTGTGCTTACCAACCAACGCGCCTGTCCAGCGTGGCAAGTAATTTGCTATTTTTTTTACGTTATGCATACAAGTTGCTATATGGGGTATCCTTAGTAAAATTTAAAATTGTGTACAACAAAAATATAAAAAAAAAACTACTGGTCTGATCTTGATCAATTTTATGTGGGACTTCACCGCACCAGCTCTCTCAAAAAAGAAAAGAATCATCAAAATCGGTTCACCTAGAAAAAAAGTTCTGCGGTAATACACACAAAAAAAAAGACGAATTGAAAACATCCTCCTGTTTTTGAATTCCGTCGAAAAAACAAAACGCGAGTTATGCAAATATTTTATAAGTTTTATGGATTCATCCAACAATGTACATTTTCTTCATTTTCTGACAGTATAAACAATGTGATATTAATTGTTGCTGTGATGATGATTGTTCAGAAGAAGAAAAAAAATTATTTGAGAAATGCAAAACTCCTTTGTCTCCAAAAGTTAGAAACCAATGGCCACAAAATTTATTAATATGTAGTGAAAATGACGCCAGTGGAATACTCGGAAATTTATTTTGCATTGCTAAAACAAACCTACCAGACAAGAGAGCTGCGGTTCCACAAAAGGTAAACTAATAGTTTTAATATAAGTAAATGTAAAATACCTATACTTGTAAGAAACGTGTAAGTAATAATACTGCGACTCATGAATTACGTAAACCGGAGATACATTTTATTGACGAGTGCAGTTGACATTGACTGCTAGAACACAGCTTTTTTTATAGGATAAGGATAACAAATGAGCGTACCGTCCACCTGATGATAAATGGTTGCAATGGCTGTGTGCTGTTGATTCATTGTCGAGGATAGACATCTATCCTCGACAAATAAGTCAAGATGCAGATGCGTTGTCACCCGTGAGGACTAAGATGGAATGCCTTGCGAAAGGGGATTCCGGTTCTCTACACTTACCATACGAAACACAGCAGCATTAAACTGCTATTTTACGCTGGTGTTCTATTAGTGTGGTCCTTCCCAGGTCGAGCCGACCCATTCGTGCTACAACTATACTACTGATATAGCTGCAGCATGGCTCTACCACGTAAAAAAGCTTACACTCCACATTAGCGTGAATACGTGATGCAATAAATAATGTTCTGCGAGATTGTTTGATGTCGGTGCAATAGGAATCGACTATTGGAACTTCAACAATAGACCTTTTATGATTCATAGAACATATTTTTTGCTATAAAGGCAGTATCCACAAGTGCTCGCGGTTGCAGAATCGACTCCGTATATTTTTACAATTTAAAATTATTTCCAGATCATTAATCTAAAAATTAATTCATTCAGTACGAAGTAAACATAACAGTAAAGAAGTGAGAGTGTTATTTTGCATTATAATTAAGCAATGTTTTAAATATCATTCTAAAACTAACGTGATTATAAACAACTTTCAAGTGTTCAAAAACAATTAATTACTAACTTATCAAATATTAATTAACTTTATTGACATTTTCTAAAACTGTGAGTGAAAACAAAATTTGAAATTGAAAAATTTGTGTAAAATGATTGTTGTGATAATTGTAATAATATTGTAAAGACGGTGTTACTAAATTTCAAATACACTTATTATTTCCACGGTTAACGAAAGTTTTGATAACTAGAACGTTATTTTGACTGCAATATAATGTACTAGCTTGGTGTAATGGATTGTAACTAATATAGTTATCGAACGAATTCAAGAAATCTGAGTTCTAAACCAGCCTAATTAGTTTGTAACTTTTTTTATCAGACTTAGTTTTTAGTAGTTGTTTAATGTCGTAGTAATTTAAAAATTATATTTTAGTCTTAATTTATTTAATTTACCTTTTATTGTTTTGTTTGTACTTTGTATAATTTTGAACATTACTTCTGTTATTTATTTAATTTTTTATTTGTTTTCTTAATTTGATATTTGTTTAATTTTTATTTAGCATTGTAAGGTTATTAGGTAATTGACATTTAATAAAATCGAATAAAATTATGGAAAACATTACAATGAGAAGAAGGAAGATAACTTTCTCTGACGATCCTGAGAACTTCCAAATGAGTCAGTCGTTAACAAATTACACTCTGATACAACTGGTCACAGTGACCACTTAATCCACGCCCTAAATAAATCTAAACTGTCGATGAGTTAAGCCTACAATTGTCCTCAGTAAAAACGGAACTAGAATCAGCGCATAATGAAATTGGAGAACTAAATTCGCAGATTCAATTATTGAATTTAAAATTACAAGAGAAAGACAGAACTATACACTGCTTAAAAAACCTTACAGGTGATGATAAGATTACTTGCACACCCATTGCAAACCGAACACCTATTCCATTAAGCAAAAAATGATTTATTTGCAAACTAAGACGCCTAGAATATCACCACTGAACGCTTCTGATATTATTTGCAAAAAACTTACATATATAAATCCTACTAATACGGGTATAACACATGAATACAGAATTGAAAATGAACCCAAAGATAAAGAGACTTCAGACCATGTACATGCAAAAATAGAAAAAATTACTATAAAGAAATTAAAAATATTTCGTCAACACCAAAAATCATAATCTTAGGAGATCAGCAAGTGCGAGGACTCGCTCAAGTAACGTATAAGCAGAGATGTAAAAACAAATGGAACAATGTTTACTCTGTTTCTGGAATATGCAAACCAAATGCAACCAGCGCGCAAATATTTGACAGTATTGATAATATATTGGAGACTTTGAATACAGATGACATTATTATTTTAGGAGTAGGAAGTAATGAGAAAAATCCGTACACATTTCTGACTGAACTTTGTTCTACACTTTGCAAGTTAAAGAATAACAACGTCTTTGTATTGAACGTATTTAATAATGAATTTTTAAATGTCAAATTATTGAATAGAGAAATTAAGTTATTTGTTCAGAATTTTTCAAACTGTTATTTTGTTGACTAAGTAATAATTTGGATATTGACACGCATTGGATACCGAAACATTTCTTGTGTTCTAAATTAAATATAGAAATAATTTTAATTACGAAAGATTTGTTCGATCGTTACTAAGATCAAGGTGTGCTGGTATAACACCTGGTAGCAGTAAAGTAAATAAAATGAACTTTAAAGATCTAAGCAAAATAAAAGGAACTATCCCATATTATTTCTACAAACAGAAAGAGAAAAGTAAAGTAGAGTCTAAACAAAATTTAATGGATAATTGTAATGATTCAATCTTTTTTCGATAGTGAAAAAAAAATACCTTACTACACCAAAACATCGCTGGGATTTTACATAAAAAAGACTTATTAGAACTTGCACTTCTTGATTTTGAAAATAAAAATATTAGTATTGATATAAAAAAATAAAGGTGTTAAAAATTTAAATGATTGGTTTTTACCAATTATAAGACAGTGTTGCACCAAAACCTGGAAAACAAAAAAAACTTAATTTGAAGTTTTTGTGAGTGCGGCTTGGGCGCTACGGACTTATTGGACACCAAATACGCTAAAATGGACTGGATGACTTTTTTTACCGTCTGGAAAAAATGTTGTTATATAAATCAAACGACTCGACCTGACACAATTTTTTTTAAATATTTTGATTAGTGAAACTTTTATGAAACAGGATACGGAGTCTAATTTAAAGCTTAATAACTACAAATTAGCATCGGCCTTTTCGAGACCGAATCAGCGTAGAGGTGGCACCTGCATACTAGTTAGGAAGGAATTAGATTATCAACCCATATAAAACCTACCCAACTCGGTAATTTATACATTTGAATTCTGTGCTATTGAGATAGTTACACTAGGTATTTGCGTTGTATGTATATATCGGATTCCAAATTCTAATACAAAATTATTTTTTGAAAAATTTGAAGAACTTCTAAATAAACTTATTAAAAAAAAATATAAAAGAGTTATAGTTTGTGGAGATTGGAACATAGATATTTTGAAAAATGATATTCATTCTAAAGAACTTTATTCTATTTTATACAATCATAACTTAACACATTTGTAAACCAACTAGAAAAATGTCGCGTATTGATTTGATTGCCAGTAATCTTCCTAATGTACAACCAAATAATCACTTTTTAGCACTATCAGATCATGAAACTTTTCAAACAATAACTTCTCAGGCAAACACAAATAAAATTCATATTAGGAAATCGTTTTGGTTTGAGGAAAAAAGAGACATTAGTAGTGAAAACGTGAAAATATTTCTGTCCTACATATATTTCGACCCTATCATTTTCTGATGTATATGAGACTGAAGATACTAATTTGGCTTTCAACTACTTTCATGACACTCTTACACTATTTTATAATTTGTGTTTCCCTAAAATTATCATAAAAATAACAAATAAATCTATTAAAAGTAAGTGGATTACACGGGGTATTAAAAAATGTAGCATTAATAAAAGACGTTTGTATTTGAAATATCGTCTTTCGACAGCAAACAAAAAGGAAATTTTCAAATATTTTAAGGAAATGCATTATGCAAGCCCAAAAACTGGACAATACACGCTACCTACTTAATTCTAACAACAAAAGTAAGGCAGCTTGGCAAATAATAAAAAACGTTAATAATGATATGGCAGTTATTAATGACATTACTACAATAACCTCTAATGGCAATACATATTATCAACCAGATAAAATAGCGGAAGTGTTTAACAATTACTTTATAAATTTAAATAATTACATTAAAACACCAAATAAAATAATAACCAATAACGACTATACGTCTAAATTGACATTTTATCCCAATTCTATATATCTAGTTCCAATACATAACACTGACATTATAAAAATTATTAATTCTTTAAAAAATACAAATTCTACAGGTTATGATGATATTAGTACTAAAATCTTAAAACAATGCTCCAAATATTTGTCTTTCCCACTAACTTACATTATCAATTTATCTTTTGTTCAAGGCATTTTCCCAACTAGACTAAAATTTTCTGTCGTTAAACCACTACACAAGAAAGGTGATAAAACTGACATAAACAATTATAGGCCCATAACACTGATATCTGTTCTATCAAAAGTGTTTGAAAAGGCCATACATACCAGAATCTATAACTTCTTTAACAAACATGAAATATTAAAACCAGAGCAATATGGGTTTACAAAAAAAAGTCAACCACTTTAGCATGTTTCAACTTAATTAAACTAATAACAACTAGCCTAAACAACAAAATACCTATAACATCCATTTTCATTGATATGTCCAAAGCATTTGAATTCGTTGACCACGAATTATTGTTACACAAACTTGCAGATATGGTGTAAGAGGCAATGCATTAAAATTAATACAAGATTATTTAAGTCAGCGAAGACAATGCGTTGAGGTATCAAGTTACTCAGGACGCAATAGAAAAAACTATAGATCACAATATTGCGAAAATAAATGCGGAGTGCCACTAGGAAGTATACTGGGACCTTTATTATTTATAATCTATATCAACGATCTTTGTAACGTAATTACTCATAAATGTGTGTTATATGCTGATGACATTACCATTAATATTGAAAATAATAATAAATATTTTGACTACGAACATGAAATAAATAGGACCTTAGAAACAATAATAGATTGGTTAAGA